ATTTATTACGGTATCAATCTGTCTGATTTCACCCGATTCCGTATTTTCACCAGCGGCTACGAAGATCAACAACTGATCTTGCGGCACCGGAAACCAATGCCGGTCTACAGATGATAAATGGTTAATTCCATCTGGAGGCTCATGAGCTAGACAGCGGCGGATAACGACGTTTATGCATGTCATCATATTCGCCAAAATATCTCATATTCTCGGAATTTTCACACGTATTATCAGGGCGGTTATTTATTACGAAATGATGCGCCTATGAAGAACAGCAGCCATATTGATTTACTGGCGGCTTTAACGGCAAGTCGATTGTTGATTTTGTTAAGATGGGTGACGTTTAGCGAGCTTTCTACCACACATTATAACAAACAGCGGCGCTTAAATCTAACGCGTCCATCTGATGACGAATCTATCGTCCTTGTTTTCATCGTAAAGGCATTGCTTACCAATGACCTGTTTGACCGAACGTCATGATTTACGCATTAAATCTGGAGTTTTAACATTTCAACCTGACTCCCACGCCAAAAAGACATTGCTTAGATGGCTACCCGACCATCATCAACGTGAATATGGCCTTTGCTGAAGAGCGTCGTGGCGAACATATATGAGCAGGTAAACGCGCGGCTTAAATGATCTGGCGATGTCCTGCTCTGGGTTTACTTGGATCAGTCAGCTATCCATGACTGCGGAATTCAAATCGAGGATCACTGACCTGCCAGCCCTGAGAAGGCAACGCCACTTCGAATGAGTATATTGCAGCCTCCTGGCATCTTAGTTTGTTCACTGGATATTTGTGAGCCTTGTGTAAATATTGCAATAATGACTTTGAAATAATAAAACAAATTGGATGTAACTCAAACCATACGGTCAACGATAATGAAAACAGCCCAACCTTCAAGGTTGAGAACAGAATGTCAAGGTTGTTGCAAACCAGACCACCCCCTGACCGCTTAACCCCTAACACCGTACGCGTAGCGTGTCTCAGACGATATAATCATAGATTAACAGAAAAACAACATCGCAAAACATGTGGAGTCTTCTGACTTTTCTCAAAGACTTCAATGAAACAACACCAAATGCATATATGATCTTGTACAAAACGTAATATCAATTAGACCAGAACTTGGGTTTAAATCCAATTTCGTCCCATTGGTTCAGTATTTCTAAATTTATCTAAACTGTTCTAAAACACTTGTATGCATTCCACTTATTCTGTGGTATGATTTCAATTCGCATTCGCTTCTTTTCGATTCCTTGTTTCGTGATACCCTGGCATCAGCCATTCCCAGTCCGCCCTGCACGAATTTCTACAAACAAAGAAAACCAATACATGGGGCTGGCAGCTGAAATGACCACCGGGTCTCAGCCATGGAGTTTATCATGGAATGAGATTCTGCTTTATTCACCACCGCCTCGAAATTTCAGATTACATCAAAGAAAACAATGATTTAACTGGGGTATGTCGTTAATGTTTCTGGCTACCGCCTCCTGTCTGTTCCGCGAGTGTTCGTGAACATATGGGTGACATTATAATGATCTAACTCATTTTCATATTCGGTGACGGTAAAAATGTCCACCACATGTGCGTCAAGCCTACAAAATCTGATGTATGATCCAGAGATGATGCATGTCTCAAACCACTTGCAGGGAAGCGTACCTCGATATGGTATACCACGAATGGGCAACCGCACCGCCAGACAGTCTAATGTCCCGCCGGAGATGAGGCTTTAAACCGTGCCAGACTCGGTATCGATCGTAAAGCCTGTACACGCGCCCTCACTTCCAGAGAGCGACAGGCTGAGAGAGTGACTGGCCCAGTATCGTGCATACTTCGTCATTGGGTTGTCTGACGCATTGTATTGTCCGGGGTCAGTCCTCGTACAGCAGCACCAGAACTGTAATGAGAACTTCAAAGCAAATGAAGGTTTATGTTAGACATGTTGCTCCGGGTCAAGACGGCGATCAAAACGAAGCCGAACGCAACGACCAAAAACGAAATTATTTTGATTTCGGGCAACACGCTCTACAATGAATGGCGAACCGATTATTCCTCCAGATATGACTAAATGCCTTCACAGCCAGCCAAAATCTGCTTAAATCGCCCGCCCGGCGACGTGCAAGCAGGACTGGGAACCAGCAGCGCCGCTTCATGTTGGCTGCCGTCACATGGCTGCACCCTCACTCACCGGTTCCGCCAGTGTGCCACTGAAGTGGCCTCCAGGCGGTGACGCCACTGGATCTGCAGAAGGAACAGGAGGTCAGCGCCAACGTAAGCGCCCCGCAACATCGTAGTGCGAGTGGACGATCACCGCTTCTTTAGTACGAGTCCAGAAAACATCATAAGCGGAGGCACCCCTGAATGTGTCAAACATTGTAATCTGGGTGTGGAATTCGAGTATTGAACGCTGGGAACTGGTAGACGACATTGCCACCCCATACGAAACGTATAATAAAGGAACTTAAATTGTCTTACTGTGTTCTGCTGAAGTCTTCAGAAAGCACGGCAACATATCTGGTCCGTCGGGGAATGTTACCCCATATTTATTGGTAGCACTACCTTTAATAGTGCGGGCCATATTAATTTTATACTATACCTTTAACAGGCCATTTACCTTCATTTACTACTGGATTACCTTTAATAGTGGCTTATGCCACTTCTGTATTTTACACCAAATTTCGAATGAAGTGGGCCAGCACTCATACGCAATTCACTACCTTTAATAGCGCCGTTTACCTTCATATTTCATTAATTCACTACCTTTAATAGTGGCCATGTTACCTCTGAGATGTAATCATCAATTTCATTAATGTTTACTCTCTCTGCGCATTTATTGAATTACTACCTTTATTGAAAATATCACCTCTATTTATATTCACGCCACCTTTAATAGTGCGGCCATTACCTCATATTTGCTATTATCATTTCATTTTCATTAGTGGGCTATATTACTCCGATCCAACAGTAAACTATGCAAGCAACCCCAAACATTTTCTTCTTGCCTATTCTGCTTTACGGTCTTTATCTGTTTGGCTACATGCTGCTCTGGCGCTGCTCCTCAGAACACTGGTAACTTTAACAATACCGAGATGCGTATTGTTAAATGGAACATTATATAAATGCTGGCCTTAGGAATAATCATTATTATTAGTGAGGAGTGAATGCAATTTCTCAAAGAATGTCCCCTGCATTATTCGATAGCAAAATAACTTGCTCAAAATTATCCAATGGCGGCGGCTATTCTCCATAACCCAATCAGTACCTCCGCCCGCCGAGGTAGACTGCGGAAACCGCAGCGAATAGAACTCTATCCCGTCCCCGAATGCGCGTTCCGCCCTGCCAGTTCCGGTTCGGCAAGAGCATGAACGACACTGCCATGACCGCTTCACCAGAGACCCTGTCGCGAACGGCCCGAAACTTCGAACGCCGAATCAGCCAGCACCCCTTTATACTGTTCACCCATGTCACCATGCCACCATGCCAACGGCGAGAGCACGAGGCCCATTCCGCGGGCAATGAAGATATCGTTGATTCTACAAGCAACGGGCAGGTTGAAAGAAAGCAGCTCGTCCTTCTGAAGCTTCCATCACCATGTCACCATCCAGGATGAATGGACGCAGGTCACGATCACCAAACGTCACTTGCCCTGTATGAACCACCGCGCGGGGGTTTTACCGTTGAAATAATTTCGTCCGACCCTGCCGCGACACTGTTGCTTCTGCTTCGCCACCGCCACAAACGCCGCCATTGGTGATGACCGTTAGGCCGTTGGCGATATGCCATACGGCGAACACGGAACGTCATCACTGGCTGGCGCAAAACATTTGTTGCTCAGCGGTTCGGTTTCGCGAATTTGAACAGAGCCATCATCGTTGAGGAACCGTTTATGCGTTCCTTCAAGGTCAGCCAACCGGTTCGATTACCGGCGGTATCTGTTAATGAACTACGTCAACAGATCAAACGTGCACGTGTTTGTTGTTACCATATAGATGCGCTTTATGGCGAACATCCACAGCACCAGGGCGTCAGCAAAGTTGAATGTGAAATGCGTAATTCGCAATGATATCCTGTTTTGCCCGTGACGCGAAATGCCATGAAGGAGCACTGGGTGAAAGCCAGGTGGAGAGGAGGTGTAATTTACGCATACGTTTCCATTGATAGCGCCATCAATGCCCAGCAATACCGCCCTGGCCATCACCGACGTATATCGGAAGTTCAGCGAAGCCAGCAGCGACTTCTGACCAGGAGTGGAGCGACGACTATAGCGCTCAGTCGCGAGGAATCGTGCGCGACTAAACTGGCTCCAGCGAGTGAGTGGATGGTTTGAGTGTTTTTGAAAAGTGCGTCACAGCGACCGCAAGGCGCCCGGCGCTGTTCACCATCAAACATAAAGAAGAGGAAAGGTTAAAGTTCATTGCGAAGCTCGGCAATCCTTTAGATCACAGGATCCTGGCAAGAGTCTAAGAATTACAACTCTGCACGGCACATTTAATCGACTGGAGCACCTGGCCAATCCTGGTCCTGAAGTGTATACTAAGGGACTCTACGAACCTACAGGAAGCCTAATGAGTGAGATGTGTTTTAAGACGCTTGTATGAAGTACATTCTTCTCGTATATAGATCATAATGGTATGTAAAAATTGTTCACAAACCATTGTTTTTGAGTTCAACTACAGTAGTGTCATATTTTTCTGGTAAAATCGTGTCCCGACTATGACTATAGTATAGCAAGGTGGTATCATACAGGTTAGAGGCCATACAGATGCTCGTTTCCCACTTCTATAGACATAGCATTGTCGCTTCGCCTAACACCTTGGTGTAAAAGGAGGTGATGCCTGAAATATGGAAAACGAAAAGAGCGCCCGGCGTACCATTGTTACTGGTAACAAATGGAACTCCAGATTGAGAATAAGAATCGCCTGAGCCAATTCTTGAACCATTCAGTAAACCACGCTAAAAGGATTAATGAATTGCAAAAGTGGCGGATAATACCAACTGCCTGTATATTAGCTGGGCTTCAATATCGTGTCCTCTCTGAGCAGCAAACGCAGTCGTCCCGGCTCCCCGTCAACATGTTGTGTTCCGAGTAGTTCATGACGTCAGTGGCAACTGGAGATAGCTTTGGACACGCTGTAGTAGAGAGGCGAAAAGTTTAAAATGAATGTCACTGTTCAAAGTTTACTGTCTACTACTTTCTGTTACACAAAGATCCGGGTATACCTTTCGGTGAGCGGAACACCATATATGGTATATAAAAAGTAAAACAGGGTGAGCGATGGCGTGGATATTTGCAAAAACGCCGTAATTTAAAGAACTCTACCAATCATGTCCATTGAGTCAAAACAAGCAAAATAAACTTTTTGGTTCCACGGCGACGACAGTTGGTGAGTTGTTTGTTTGTCTTGGAGAGGTAGGCTACCGTCAAGTGACAGAAAACACGAAAGAATGTAAGTATATGCAAAAACAGGTCTTTCCTTCTAAATTATACAAATTTGGACATTGCGTATTTCGCGCTACATAATCTAGGCAGCGTATTTTGGTTTACTCGTCCCCAACGCTAGGTGGCAGGAGTACATATCTACCTACTATGAGCATAATGACTGAGAGTTTAACATGATGCGAGTGTTTACCCCTGTAGGCCGGTGACTGCGCCGAAATCCAAGTTGCATCCCTCCATGATGGCAGCATCTTGCTCCAGGTAACCGTCCTTGTTCGAGGCCCGCCCTGTCCAACAAAGGTAGTCCCGTAACCGGCATCCTCTTCAACAACTGAACAATCCACAATATCCATACATCATCAACACTGTCGATAAAACAACACACATCATCAACACTTCCAATGCATCAAACACAAGACTATTTATTCCACTGACAGCACAAAACAACATCAGTTTCATTATTAGTAGTGAGTGAGTTTAGTTTTACGCCACACTCCAAATATTCCAACTATATGGCGGCGGTCTGTAAATAATCGAGTCTGGACCAGACAATCCAGTGATCAACAGCATGAGCATCGATCTGCGCAATTGGGAACCGATGACGTGTGTCAACCAAGTCAAGCGAGCCTGACCAATTGATCCCGTTAGTCGCCTCTTACGACAAGCATGGGTTACTGAAGATCAATATTCAATATCAATATCCAGTAGTAGTAGTAGTAATAGTAGTAGTAGTTGTAGTAGTAATAGTAGTAGTAACAGTAGTAGTAGCAGCAGTAGAAGTAGCAGTAGTTTGTTGTTTAACGCAGCGCCCAGCAATATTCCAGCCATATATGGTGGCGATCTGTAAATAATGAGTGAGTGAGTAATTTAGTTTTACTCCGCACCAGCATTATTCCAGCTATATGGCGGCAGTCTGTAAATAAATGGAGTCTGGACCTGTAAATAATGGAGTCTGGAAGTAGCAGTAGTATATTAATAGTAGTATCAGCAGTAGTACTAGAAGCAGCAGTAGTAGTAATAGTAGCAGCAGTAGTGGAAGTAGTAGTAGCAGCAGTAGTGGAAGTAGTAGTAGTAGCAGCAGCAATTGTAGTAAACAATGACAAATGTATTTCAACGTCAAATGAGAAGCAGTATGGATATTTTAATGGAGACTTCTGTCAACTATATGCAGCAGACTACAAATTACATATCAAACTGGTAACCAACGTTTAGCTTTCGAATTAGTATATATCTATATATTCAGCCGAATTTACAGTTAACAATAACAATTATCAATTGTATGCAAGATACGGAGCCAAAATAATGATGCAAGTTCGGTTACTCGTGGATCCAAATGGCAGAAGCACATGTAAAATCACCGTTTATTCCACATTTCACAGCATCAACGCAACTGCCACCTCCGGACGCGAGCTTGTTGCCTGCAGTGAGCACCAGTTTGCTACTGAAAGCCCATGTTCCAACAACTATTGTTTTGCTCATTGTGACATCAAACGGTATAAACCAGACGAATGTTTATAGTATAAGAAACATATATAACCGGTTATGACTTCTTGCAGGAAGTTCGTCAAACGAACCTCCCCTCGTTACTTGCCCTTGATTTGTCGCATATATACTAGTTTCATACAACTACCCATACATCCATGTCGGGAATGAGGTATATATTGGTTGAAAGCTTCTACACATTGTTCTGTGTATGGCGTACCCACTTACTGTGAATTTACAATTTGGGCCTGTAACATGTGCACAACATGCAATCGATAGGAACCTTACTGTCGTTGTTGGAAAGATAACATACACGTTCTCCTATAATTCAAACTGATATGGTTGTATATCATGAAATTTGAGAAGGTATGCTTGTCGCACTATTTTCTTACAAAATGTCGCGTGTAAATTTATATCCTAGGATCAGTTGTATCAGTAGGCAAGTAATACAATGCGAGATGGCAGTCTGTATATACTCAAAACCAAACTTTTTAAAAGATAGTCCGTGAGTCCTCTCGGGTGCTTTCCCAAAGTAGCAATAACTGTCGGAGTGAGTTACCCGTCTGGGGAAGGGGAGGACGTTACTGGGTACAGATTTGTAATGTTTGCCCTCTGAAATGGTCGGCTGATGTTTAAATAGTCCAGTCCGCTCGTGAAGTGATTGTTATTGAATACTGTTCATCGAAATGTATTGTTTTAAACAGGTGATACTAGACTAGGGTGATACACTCTACCAGTGAGTAATCTTTTATCTCACGTAAAAGGGAAAGGCAGGTTTCGTCTTATTCTTAATGTGTGCCTGTGTGTGGCTATGTCTGTGTGTGCTATGTCTGTGTGTGGCTATGTCTGTGTGTGGCTATGTCTGTGTGAAGCAAGATTAGTTCTTAATACAAAGAAGAGACTAGAACACATCAAAAACTCTTTTTTGAACTGGAACGAAACTTAACTCTGATTGGAAAAATAACCGTTATTAAAAGTTTAGCTTTAGCAACTATAGTTCATATATTCTTACGTCTCTTCCCAATCCTCCGAAGGATGTCATCATAAATTGAATAATATATTTTTAATTTCATATGGAATGATAAGAAAGACAAGATAAAGAGAATTAATTTAATGCGAAAATATATGAAGATGGTGGTCTGAGAATGGTTGACATCAAAACCTGTATTGATTCACTAAAAATTGCATGTTTAAAGAGATACGTGTCAAATTCTAAGTGCTATAGTTTAGCTGGTTTCCCTGTAAAAGACATTCTTCTATTAGGCGCAAATATTAGTTAAACAATACAAAATTGAAAACCCGTTTTGGAAAGACGCACTCGATGCATGGGGTAGATATATTAAGGGCTATGAATGGAACAATGATATAAATGAAATTCTTATGCAACCCATTTGGTTGAACCACCTGTGCCATACCACCCTAAGTTGATTATATTGAACTGGTTCCACAAGGGAATAGTACACATTAAAGATATTTGTAATGACCATGATTTCCTTACATTTTCAGAACTTAAAACAAAATTTGATATATGGGGAATTTTTGATACTTGACCTAAATCGTGTTCTTCTCGAGTATTCCCAAAAGAATGGAAAGAGGTTATACGAACGACAAAACATCCAAATAAATCACAATTGTCAATATGTTCCCCTTGGAATGATTTGAGCAACCCCAGTAAAAGGTTCAAGATTATTTTACGATAATTTCATATCTGAAAATAATTTTCCCAAAGTCTCAGTCAGAAATGGGACAGCGAATTGAGTGATCCTTTAAATTGGAAGAATATATTTCTACAATATAGACAATCTAACAAAGACACAAAACTCCTAGAGTTTCAGTATAAATTTATATATAAAGCCATTTATACAAATAGGGAGTTGCTTAAAATGAAAACTGGTTGATAACGATTTATGATCATCGATGTTGGTTCGGTAAGTGAGAACATCTATCATGTATATATTGAATGTCCAACTATTAGACTGTTTTGGAAAGAATTCACCAATCTTGTTAATAGACTACTGAACAAAACATATGAGCTTTCTACTATAGATATCTTATTTTGCTGCACTAGCAACCGCCTACTCAACCACATGATTTTATTGGCCAAACGCCATATATATGTAATGAACATAAAGGGTTTGAAACCCAGTCTTAATACCTATAAAGCAGTATTAAAAGATGTATATCAAATTGAAAAATATATTTGTTCGAAAAATATCAACATAGATTCATTTATTAGAAAATGGGATGTAATATCTCCAGCATTGCCAATGTTATGACTTCACCTTACGAAGATGCAGTACTTCAAGTCCATGGTGATTCACGATCTTGCATAGTCTACTAATCCCATCACATACTGTAATTCAGTATGTAAATATGTCTTTCTATGCATGTCGCCTTTAAGGCTCACAAAATGACGATTGTACCCAACTGAAGTGAAAAAAAAATATACAAAAAAAAAGATTAGTTCTTGTACATCTGAGTACAGTTATAATGAAAACAATATGTATATGCATGAATTACCGGTACTTCGATTCACACATGCCACTAGCTAGGCCTAAAGGAATATTTGCATTGCCTGAAGTCATGTCTCGAGTAAAAGCCTAGTGTCATGTCAACTGGATCTATATGACCTGTTTCTCGCCTGTAAAAACAATGATGCCACTCAACCGTGTCTGATCGCTGCATTCACTTATGATCGGTGTGATGTAGGAGTCTGTCTCCATCGATAATTACTTGCTGGTGTATATGCTTGGCAATATATCACGTGAGGCTGTGCATATTGTTCACATCCGAGGTCATCATTTACATACACAACGGGATATTGTGACGCGGGCGGGCTGTCACGGATCAAATGACACTTCGCGACAATTATCATACATAGTTTGTACCTGTGTGGTGTGTTGGTGAGTATTTTGATTTCTACTTTTAATTTTAAAATATCCTGTATACTTTCGACGTACCTCATATTCACTACATCAAGTTCTATTTGTCAGTGGAAATCACTTTGGAAAGACATGCTATATTTCACCTACATATTTAAATAGGGGGTAAACATTATCCTTTACCGTGTCAGCATATGGCAAAATAGACGTTGTTTTTTTCACTAACCGCTGCTAGGTAATGTTACATATCCCTATTTTAAAGTGGAAGATCACCGTCTTGTCTTTTTTTAAGCATGCAAAAATGACCAAACGCAGAGCCCTGATAGTATAATAAATACGTGTTAGGTAAATACGACCGAGCTTTAACATTCAAGGAATTGTGGGAAGGCGGAAGTGTTTTCGTTGGATCGTGAGAATCCGTAATTTTTCTGGACGATCAATTCGACGTAAAGTAACAGCTGTCACTGTGTATGATACCATCTCATAAAGTTGATATGTGTTAAACGAGACACTCTGACAAGCATGACACTATCATTTGCTATTCAAAGGAAACAACAATAAAAAGGTAAAGCTGTACAATGCTTTTCGATTAATAATATTTCCAGGCGGCAGACGAGTGCGAGTAATAGGGAAGTGGGCAGAATTGACGTCCGTAAGAATTTGGATTTATGTTGAATATAATGCTGACAGTTTAATGAATATACGAGAAATTCTGAATTAAAGAAATGAACAAGAACGTGCTTTTCTTAACATCTGTAATGGTATCGAGTAAAATCCAGTATGAGACATGTTAGTAATGTCTGTGTTCATCTCCTACTGCAAAAGCTGTCGATACACTATACAGTTTATAAGTGTTTTCACTCGCGAGTGTTTCAGGACATGTGTTGACTCCTTGATGACGAAACGTGGGATAATACAGTTGTAACCATATCTTGTCGATGAACTTTAAACATAAACAACTGAACATACCCTGAGATCAAAACCACTGACTGGTTGACTTAGTCTACAGAAATATTTACATATATAGCATACGCAGTAGCTTCACCACTGGCATTGAAAGATAAATAGTCTATACATGGTGCATAGCTTCCAGAAATCAATTCAGTCGCCAGCTGTTATATTCTTATTTATTGCATATTTCCTGTAATGCAATAATGTTGTGAAAAGAAGTGAGACTGCCCAATGTTACATTACCAATATCGTGCAGTATGCTTTTCAAACCACACATATGACAACACTATCTGTATCCTGGGAATAAAAATATTACAACTTTCTTATTTTCATTTTGCTTAAGCTAAAATGTACACAGCAATTTGCTCCGCAAATGTTGCTTCCCCACGAAATAATGGTGAAAAGTGTGGAAAACATGCAGAGTGATTTTCTCCTCATGCTATGCCTACAAAGACAATGAAAAGTTAATTTTTTGAAAAAATGGCTTCTAATCTGTTTCAGAGAACAAACTAACCCCATAAAGAAAGGTATGCTTTATGGATGACAACGTGTTTATTATATTATGGTGCAATGTTTTGGGTATAGGTTCTTATAGTATACCATAAATCAAGCAAAAGTCACTCCTTGAGAATTCACTCTTGCTTGACAACAATGTAAGATCCTATACCGAAATGTTGCATCATAATATGTAAGAAGTTGTCATACCTTTCTGATTACTCATCATCTTCTTCAAATGTAAATCAAACAGAACTAAATCCCTTTGAAATTTGGGCTATTTGAAAAATATATGACTAGCATATCCTGGTCACCAGTTCAGATGATTTATGAGATATACAGACTGTTATAAAAGCTATGAGATATTTGATGTTGAATAATACCATTCAATTGTGGGGGTGTTGAAAAAAGATAAGAGTGTCGTTTAAGTCAGCTAGCAAAGCAACCAAGGGGTCAAGAAAGCAGAGTTTATCTCATGCAGAAGAAACAGCAAAACCTATGCACAGAGAGCAGTGACAAAACACATGCACCTTTAATTAATATCTGGATGGTGTAGGACAGACAGACATCTGCTTTTATCTGCCTCCCACTGTGACACATGTAATCTATGCAGCATACTCATACGTAGGCATACACATCTACTTACTTAGAAGCTAGCCATTTGTCATTGCCATCATAAACCTTTGGTTTAAAAGTGTTTTCACCTTAACCAGCTGTCAAAGTTTTACAAAGGAAGCCTCTTGTTCCTTCATTTCAACTTTCGATTTCATGAGTCAAAACAATTTCAGTAGTTACCAGTACTAAATGTAACATTTATTTGTTTAATTTTACACACATTAGAATATTCCAGCTGTTGGATCGTAAATAATTGAGTCAGGACCAGATAATCTAGTGATTGATATAATGAGCATTGATCTATGACATTTTGATATAATGACATATATTTAACCACTCTATTCTCTTTAATAAGCTATCTTAGTTGAAGACTATTTCTTACCTGGATCTCCAGGGTTTCAAATGCATGAAAACAATGCAAATCAGGCTTCAGATGTGACACAAACATATCAAAGTTTAGCTTCCCAGCTTTTAAACATTTTATGCACAGAGACTTGGAAGTTTAGATTTGCATTCCATCAGCCCTTGCTTTGACAGAGGGAAATTGGCAAATCAACAAATCAGTTTGCTCTATCCGGTCATATAATGTGATCTGTGTATGTGTGTGTTAGAGTTGTTAACTGATTTCATTAGATTTATTGAAAATTATTCAATATTATGTATATTGATTCTAGCCAACTTGTGTTTGAACTGATGGCAGATCGTTATTTATAGTTACACGGTTGCAGCTGTTGGTGTCTTGAAATGATCATTGGTTGTCAAAGAAGGAATACATATGTGTAAAATGGTCTGCTTTAATAGGTTTGGTCATTTTTTGTTGAAATGTTGCTTCGAATTGGCATGACAAACTAAGTTTAGTTTCATGTATTGGAGGATTGTCACTGTTAACATGTATACTGTGATTCAGTTGCATCCAGATAATTTAGATACATAAGTTTGAGACAACTGGGAATATACTATGTCCAGTTAAAGTGATTCAAGTACAAATAAAGATAATTATAGAAGGTAGACACGGGTGAATTCATGCCAGCCAGGAATTGATACCTACAAGTTTAACAACAACATGGCCAAACTTTATGTCAGCATTGTACACAGCCCCACATATTACGCGTGCCAGAGGTAATAGGAAATGTCAGTCTGTAGGTATTTGATGATTGTGTGTGTAAGTCAAGATTCTCAAAGCATGGTTTGTGTGTTCGGCTTGTTGGGGATTGAGTGCATGATAACAAGAACAGGATATATTGTTTCCAACATGGACATGATATGCGACAGTTTGGACTTGACAGGACAAGATGTTATGGCGACATAGCTATGACGGGAAAATTCCTATTTCTTTCAAGGCAATTTCAATCATGTGTTTTCAGTTTTCAAACTGTATGCTCATCATAAAACTGCACATTGATTGCATATACGATCAGTATGCAATCAATGTACAATCAGCTGGCTGTTGTGCACCGATTTGTCTTCTAGTGATATGTTATCAGCACCTTGCCAGTTCTCTAAAATGTTTGACATGTAAATTGTATGATAAATATACAGATTATCATCAGCTAAAACTGGACATATATCTCAGAAAGAGCATTGTTTTCCAGTGTAAGTAAAACCAGTTTTCTTCTATTTGTATGTAATTGATCACACTCTTCATGCTCTGTTGGCAAAATCTGAGATCATGTTGCCTGATTTTGTGTACCTAGCATTGTGTTGGTTATTGATTACAGTCGACCTGTCTCGAGCATTTGTGAGTGTTACCTGGTGTTAATCATGTTAATGAGGGTTGCTGTGATTATGCTGAAATAATGATGTAAACAACGTGCACCTTGTCCTTCACATTTCTTCACTCTGTGCCTACAGCTATGTTTACTAGCCCAGCTATGGCTGTTTATATCTCCAGTAGCCTCACCTGTTATGATAGGGATATAGTTAGCTTTACTTGTATGACCTAACAGAAGTTTACTACAGATGGACTTTAGACTCATAACTACTGCTTGTGTATTTAACTATAACAGTATCTGTTACCATGGTTACAGGTTCAGACAACAGTGAGCAGCGTTCAGCAACAAGCAGCTGACAGGGAGGAAAGGACAGACTGTCAACCATCATCTCTTCCACCTTCCTTGAGAAGACATGGCAAGACACACGTGTGTTATTCCTGCTGTGTTAGCCTGTGTCATAGCAGTGGTTACAGGACACAGCATTGGTGCTGACAATGCAGGACATAGTATCAATACTGCCGATGACAGCCTAAAGCCGACTGATGGAGTCCTGGGGGACACGATGAAGATGGACATCAAGATGAAGGGGGCACATCCTGACACTGTAAGTACTGCCAGGGTTTGTGCAAGACGTGTATTGATGCTCAGTGTCATGTGTATTGTAATACTTTATGTCAAATTGTTATGAAAATACATTTTGTTACAAGATCAATCACAATACAATAGGTCAACTCTAAATCGTTTGTTCCTGCAGACTTCTGTTACAATCTGACCACAACAGCTTTAGCAATTTACTGGCACTTGAGTCATCTCCAAAGCCTGCACATCATTTGTTTAGAAGTTTAGTAAAACTTTTGTTAGGGCTGTGTCTTGTCAGGAATTTTGTGTTGCAGTATGTTATGACAATTAGGTCTGTACTGTGATACATACTGAAGTGAAGAGATGGAGGATAACAACTTCTTTCTATTTGTGTTCATTAAATATGTCATGTATTCATTAGGGCTGCACGATATTACCGGTATACCAGTAAACCGCAATGCGACATTGTATCAATTATGTATCGCGATACGTTTATGATGTAACGGTATACCGACAAAGATTTATTTGTTCAATTTTAATCCATTCAACACCGAAGGTAAGACTTCTGCCCGTAAACCCCGTAAAGTTGAATGGTGAGGAAAAAGATATATATGTATATTCAGGTAATATGGGTGGCGGTGGTGGGTGGGGATTAGAAGTCTTTCCAAATGATTGGCAATGGGTCCACTTAGAGATTGTCAAACAGCAAAGTATCGATATTTCCAGGAAATAATTAAAATTGAATAAATTAATGAATAAAATCTACAGTTTTCATAAAAGTTGTCAAACGTACATCTAAGTTACTATTTCCATCTTTTCGTGCGATCATGGTATGCAAGTCAAGTGACATCTCGGCTTTCGTCGCCTCGATCTTCATGCTCCGACACGATGTTTAATGTGAAACAAATTGCATAAAGAATATTTGTCACAGGTCGTCACCTAGTACGATATGTCCAATACGTTCCACAATTTACATACCTGTGGCGATTTCCTGCTTAACACGCTTAAAAAGAATAGCATTATTGTACCTAAAACTTTTGTCTAAAAGTTTATGAGGACGGTATCCATTGCTGTAATATGATTGGCTGCCTTAGGCTACGTGCATGATTTTTACCAATCACGAACCTTATAGCAGACTGTGGTGAAAAAAGTGTCATTAGAAACCAAGCTTTATCCAATAAAACCGCTTCTTACAACTGCGAAAATATTCCTGGCAGGGTTACTGTGATATTATTGATGATTAGAGCTTCGAACGATACCAGCCATCAAATGAATCTTCTCGAGTATTATTCATACAGAGCTTCGAAAACGGAGGCATTTCCCAATGTTATGTCGTGTTACTGGCTTAAAAGCCATGGCTACCGGGAAATAGGCTGCGCCATACATATTATTTAATTAATCTTTTTATAATAATTTTCTGATTACGTAAAAATGAAAATATAAATGAAATAGGTAAGAGGATATTATGGCATATTACAAATGGGTTAAAATAGCGTGAGTTTCCGTCTCCTTCGTGCTTTATCTGGACATTATGAGTGTGTAAACTTTTTAAGTTGAAGTTGTATTATTTGAATAATATGTTAAAATAACTTTGGTACGTATCAACAGTTGGATTTGACCTAAATATATTTAAATGGTGTATGCCATGTAGTAGCAATTATGTTTCACGAGCTGATATTTTCCATGACAAACGTAGGCTTCTATCTTATTATAAGGCTATGATTCTCATGTTTCATTTTTTTCATTGTTCTATTCCGTCTAAAGAAAGTTTACTTTAACTAATACAGAGAGACTTTTGCCCATCTTGGGTGTTTTGTTAAATCATTTCTTTATGAGAAAGTGTACCCAACGTCATTCATGAAATAGGTAATATTAATAATAATTTTATTCAAAGACATAGGTGCATAAATCATTGTTATGATTAGAATGTGCACTTCAAGATCATGTCACATGATTGTGACTTCAGTTAATTTTTTCTTGAGTAATACAGATGTGCACAGTAGCTCAGACTCTTTAAATTATTTGAAATTCAGCATCCTTTGCAGTTTAAGAAGTTAGAGTATATAAATAGTATGGTTGGGTTTATGGAGGACATGATGTAAGCTAGTTTCAGTTGAATTTGTCATATGAAATGAGAAATCATACATTTTATCTGTGTTAAAGGTCACATGCAACCAAAACATCAAACATAATTAAAACACAATTATCACTTATTCATGACATATAATATACATTGCTGGTTATGAAAAAACATATAAACAAAATTATAAGTGTACAATCGCAAATCAAAAGTGCAATATTGTGTACTTCGGTTTACTTCCCAAGAAACGAAGCAGCCTGGATACCGACCCCTGTCAGAGCAGGTGGGTGTGCACTCAGGTGTAACGGCTGGTTCATTTGCAGATGCCCTCACGGCTGATTGTGTGTGTATATATAGAGATGTTGGGTTTTGTAAATACATGCTCATTTTTTGTGTATAACATTTTGCAATCAACAGACATCATAACATGTCATGTGTTCAAGTATCACACCTGCCTGTCTGTGTAATTACAAAATGTGACAGAGACCCATGAACTCGGGCCATAAATCAATGCATTTTGTTTATGGTGTATAGCCTGATTGGTGTTAAGTTCAAATTGCATGTGGTCAGTGATAGCAGCTGTGTATTGAATATTGTCATTAGCAGACAGGCAGGCAGACACACAGGTGTCAATAAAACAAGACATTGAGTTTAGTCTGTGACAACGACATATCTATATCACAGTTGGAAATTCTGTCAACGCTAAATAATGGCATTGCCTTGAAGTATCGAAAGTGACTCGGTAAGAAGAACGTGTGGTGAAATAGACAAATGAAATTATATAAACAGTTAATTTACTGTCATAACATATAAAAAGCTCGCGTCTGTGAGATATCAACAAAACATTAGAAAAATAGCTTACATCAAAGCCTTCACCGAGTATTCACCGGACAAGCGCTTCCAAGCTGCGCGAACCTACTTCACTGCGCACGTGCTATAAGTAGTATAAGCGCAGCCCAGCTGTTGAAATCCTTTAGTGAAACGTTTGAACTCCGATTTCGCGCGTTTTTTTTCATCGCGTTATTTTTCATGTTTATAAGTTGAATTTGCATTTTTGACGATTTGTTTCGGTAAGTCCATACCGAAAGGTATCAGAATCTGCAAAGTTGTGTTTTTCGTTGCATGTGACCTTTAACTTTCCTTTGGACAGCAGTTACCATTAAAAGAAAGACTTGTTGAAAGTTTTTTATAGTTAAGTGTAGGGCTAGTAATATTTGGAAAGGACTAGTGACATTCAAAATCCACTAGCCTGGAGGACTAGTTGAAATGTTTAGTGAGTGTCGATCCCTGCTGGTTTAAAATATAAATATAAACAGAAGAACGTTCTGGTTTTTCCTTTTTCTTGCTTTGAAAGAAGCTATACAATGAACAGTGGTTACTCACATATACTGTGATTCAATTTGAAGGTAAAAGAATATTACAAAGTGGACAGATCTCAATAAGTGTTCTTTCACAAAATATCGAATACAGAAGAGTGTATCGCAATATATAGCAATACAAAATTTGGGGCAATACACCGCCCTGGTATTCATGTTTGTCCAACTTCTAAATGCCTTTTAAGAAATACATATTGAAATGTTTTGTCATTCGCCACATGCTACTGCTTCCACTTTCAAAATTTCCTATTCATGATGTTGCATGGCTGACAATAGCACCATATTTAATGGGGCTGTTATGGTTCAGCCCTTTATTCAGTGAATCAAACCGTGAACTTTCATGGATTCAGTTTATTATTCAAGATCACTACATATTTATGAATTATTTTTAAAAGCAGGGTTGTTACTCGAACAATGTTGTTTTTTATCAGAGCGAGATATGCAACATGGAATCTATCCAAGCCTGGCACAATAACAGTCAACAGTCTTTTATGTGTGATTTGATAGTAAGGTGATTACTGGCCATTGTCAACACTGTCAACTTGGTCCAAACATGTCAGACTATTTCTTTTGTTATCATGGTTATTGTATTCTTGAATATACTGATTAACACATCAACGGCTAAGTTGCTATTTAGTCATTTCACAATATTCACATTCATTACTCAATATTCGGGATATCCAACAAATTGAAATCATGGTGGATTTAGTGCATCCCTGATATTTAAGTATTTCAGCTCTTATAGGGAGCAGTCCCAGTGGAGGGGTCAGTCCACATTACTACCACAGTAAGACTTTATAGAAGGACTTGATATTGGTAGGGACAAATATAATTCCTTCAAGATAAGCCTAACATGTAAGATTTTAATTTATTATCCCAACTGCAAGGTTAGAAAAATGAAGTTTTACAATCTGAAGTTACTGGTCACGATCTCAGATGATTTGGAAAATTGGCATCAGTAATGGATATTTTACAGAGTTATGGCCCTTGCTCCATGCTTTTCAGCATAGCCCTATTATTCTACTTCATCAAGCTAGTGCATGGTGTATGCAATGAGGACAAGTTTCTTACAATATTGGACTTGTTACTGGAATGAAACCTTGCAACCGTATCTGAGAGATACTTTTCAAAACAGAGTTAAGGTTGTGGCAGGATTAATTGTGTTCTACTCGGTTGCTATGTTGTCACAGTTTGAACCTACAGAGATATGGCCCTTGATCCTTATTATTTAACTGAGTGAGTAGTGACTGCTATGAGAACAACTGTTCCTGCAGCTACTGTAGTTACCTGATGAAACCTTCAAGCTAATGTGCTCCTTGTCTGGGGAAAGTGGTAACAGTGTTGTCTCTTTTGTTTCATTAAGCCTTGTCAAAAATCTCGTTCACATTACCTGACCAACCCTATAAACTGCATACAACTGTTATGCTTTTTCAGCACTTATTAACTTGATTTGACATTGCTGGGCTATTTTCTCAATCTTCAGTTACTTGACTGAATTTTAGTAAGGTCCCATACCTCATTGTGAGGACTTGATATTTTCAATGTTCCATATACAATCAGTTCGGTGGTTTCATAGATATCTTGAAAATAAGAGCACAGAATCAAATAGCAGAATTCATGTCACTCAAGGAACCTATGGGGCTCAAAACTCCTGGCACTAAACTGTCACTGGCATGGTTGTAATATGTTGCACCCTGACAAGTATCTTGTGATGTTCTTGTTTTAATGTAAAACAAATAATAAAGTTACTTTGCAAAAGAACACTGGAAAACATATGGAAAATGCTACATACATTAAACTCTGTTACCTGATACCAAAAAACCCACCTTGTTCTATCAAATCTTTTTCTGATTGGAATTAATACCCCAAGGAAGTGTCCCGTGACACTGTTGAAAAACATGACATATCTAGTTGTGTACAAGAATTCAATATTCTATTGTCTTGCTTTAAAAGAGAGACTGCTGACTGATCACACTAGCTACATGGCATTATCATGGCACAGTGTGTTGTAAACATGGTGGATAGGAAAGCTCATTACTGTCACTATGATGGAATTTATTATAGTTAATAGTAAAATATTCAGTGAACTGCTGTCAACATCTGGCATGATCCCATTGCATGGCTGCAATCTGTGTTCAGATGTGTTGACATTGATAACAGTGTGTGTCCCTAGATTGTTGGTAGATACATACATATTATTGACAATAGCTGTGGGTCAGTATTCAGTCAGTGTCAGTTAGTTTCATTGTTTCAAATTAAGCTTGAAAGTCAACATAAGGGGCTGCCACTCGCCTCCCGTCATGATAACGAACCAGACAAACTTTGCCGATAGGTTGTACTGCCAACCAAAAAGTGTAAAGATCATGTTAAGGAAGATGCTGAAAATAATGACACCAAATTTTCTAAAACAATCATTCAATTAGTGATCAGTTTGTTGATCTTAAAAACATTTGACTCTGTTCTTTGCATGAGGTAACAGTATGCACACAGTGTGTTCGTCTGTGTAACAAGGTACAATATGCACACAGTGTGTTGTCTGTGTAACAAGGTGACAATATGCACACAGTGTGTTGTCTGTGTAACAAGGTGACAATATGCACACAGTGTGTTGTCTGTGTAACAAGGTGACAATATGCACACAGTGTGTTGTCTGTGTAACAAGGTGACAATATGCACACAGTGTGTTCTCTGTGTAACAAGGTGACAATATGCACACAGTGTGTTGTCTGTGTAACAAGGTGACAATATGCACACAGTGTGTTGTCTGTGTAACAAGGTGACAGTATGCACACAGTGTGTTGTCTGTGTAACAAGGTGACAATATGCACACAGTGTGTTGTCTGTGTAACAAGGTGACAACAGTGTGTTCCTCTGTGTAACAAGGTGACAATATGCACACAGTGTGTTGTCTGTGTAACAAGGTGACAATATGCACACAGTGTGTTGTCCTGTGTAACAACAGGTAATAGCACAGTTGTCTGTGTAACAATATGGTGACTCACTCAGCAATATTCAGTGTGTGTATGACAAGGTGACACTCAGCAATATCTGTAATAATCAAGTCTGTATCAGATCAGACAATCCAGTGATCAACAGCATGAGCATCGATCTGCGCAATTGGGAACCGATGACTGTTATCAACCAATTGCGCAGACTGATGCTCATGCTGTTGATCACTGGATTGTCTTGTCCAGACTCGATTATTTACAGACCGCCGCCATATAGCTGGAATATTGCCGAGGGTGGCGTAAAACTAAACTCACTCACTCACTCTGTGTGCATACATCAAGTTTCAGACTTTCATATGTGAAACATGACAAACTAATATTTGGTATGAACATAACAACACCATTCCTGTGAAAGCTGATGCATTATGCTGTAATGATTTTGTTACCCATCTGAAATAGATTTGGCCTCATTAAATGCATTGATACATCCCAGCAGATGTGCTGGTGCTGGGGAGTAGGTATCACAGCGTGTATACTCACACCGGCAACACATGCTGGACAGCTGTCACTAGCCGTTCAATAGTCCATACTGTAACAAGCAGTAAATGGTGGTCATATTGATCATTTCACTACTTCTACAAGTCTGTTTTTCATTTTCTAACATCATCATATTTCCTTTGAATTATTAGAGTGATAAGAAAAATTATCATGTGAAGCACATTTTGCAATAAGGTGGAAGGTGGGGGTGGGGGAGGGTTTGGGGGTGTTGATATTATTTTGGACACTGTCCGTCTTTTCCAGACCAGAACATAAAAACCTTTCAATATTTCTTTGCACAAAGATAGGTCTGGTGGTGAACAGGTGCCTTTAGATAGTTTTGGATTTCTGAATAAAATAGGTTTTGCGTTTCCATGGCAGTTTTACTTTCACTGAAATTGTTTGTTGTGCTCCTTACCGGAGCAGAAGTTTATAACCTTTCAATACTCTCCTTCCATTTTGTGGGTATTCAAGAACCTAATGACATAAATCAACAGCACTACTCTATTTCCAGTATCAACATTACTGAGGTACATCTAACCATGGAAGCACTCAGGCAGTCTGTTATTAATACAAGCATCACAGAGTCATAACTAGTTGACCTGTTCATGAAGATGATTTTACTGTAGCGGGGGATATTGATGACTTTGTCTTCTTGTTATCATCTAACTGAAATTGAGCTTATACCATGGTATGATTGTCAGTTGGCACATATAGTCCTTAGAAACCAAGGTACCATTAAAGTTATTACTTCACAAATGTGTCCCTACCAGTGACACCCCACTTTATTCAAGAGGTTGGAATCCAATCTTTACATGGCGCCAGTGGCAGCCATGTTGAAAACCCTGCTTCTTGCCGCCATTATCCAGCCATTTTCATAGAACTGAAAGGGCAGGGCCCACTTAGCATGATGTGCCCATGCTGTGGCACACACTGTGTGATGTACAGATATATGTATGATGTGCCCATGCTGTGGCACACACTTTGTGATGTACACATATATGGATGATGTGCCCATGCTGTGGCACACACTATGTGATGTACACATATATGGATGATGTGCCCATGCTGTGGCACACTGTAGACAGATATGTGGATGATGTGCCCATGTTGTGGCACACACTGTGATGTACAGATATGTGGATGATGTGCCCATGCTGTGGCACACTGTACAGATATGTGGATGATGTGCCCATGCTGTGGCACACTGTACAGATATGTGGATGATGTGCCCATGCTGTGGCACACACTGTGTGATGTACAGATATGTGGATGATGTGCCCATGTTTTGGCTCAAACTGTGTGATGTACAGATATGTGGATGATGTGCCCATGCTGTGGCACACACTGTGTGATGTACAGATATGTTGATGATGTGCCCATGTTGTGGCTCAAACTGTGTGATGTACAGATATGTGGATGCTGTGGCACACACTGTGTGATGTACAGATATGTTGATGATGTGCCCATGTTGTGGCTCAAACTGTGTGATGTACAGATATGTGGATGATGTGCCCATGCTGTGGCACACACTGTGTGCTGTACAGATATGTGGATGATGTGCCCATGCTGTGGCACACACCGTGTGATGTACAGATGTATGGATTTTATTCTTTGTGTTTCAGCCGGATTCCTACCTTTGTTCCAGCTACAGTTTGAAGGACTTAGATATGGATGAGAACTACATTGGTGAGTGTGCAGTTCTACCTTATGTTGGAAAAGCATTCTGTTTGAGGGAAAAATAAGATTGTCATCAAGTAATTCATCTTAAAGGAGATTCCCAGCCCTGTCTATAAGTTCCAACATTGTTTACTTTTACTCACACGCATATTGGAGGGCGATTCACATGATGTGACCTGTCAACCAGCATTTGTTTGCTTTGTTGCTAATTATACCTGTAACATTTGATGGTGTTACAGTTAAGTTTGAGGCTATGGCTGATGTGAAGACAGCTCACCACATCCTGCTGTATGGCTGTGACGGGGAGCCTGCCAGAGGTACAGACATATGGTAGGTTGGCTTCAACATTCTACTCTAAGGTCAGTGGTACGATCCCTGGCTGTGTCGGGGAACCTGCCAGAGGTACAGACATATGGTAGGTGGGCTTCAACGTTCTACTCTAAGGTCAGTGGTACGATCCCTGGCTGTTTCGGGGAACCTGCCAGAGGTACAGACATATGGTAGGTGGGCTTCAACGTTCTACTCTAAGGTCAGTGGTAGGTGGGCTTCCCTGGCTGTGTCGGTGGTAACCCTGCCAGAGGTACAGACATATGGTAGGTGGGCTTCAACGTTCTACTCTAAGGTCAGTGGTACGATCCCTGGCTGTGTCGGGGAACCTGCCAGAGGTACAGACATATGGTAGGTGGGCTTCAACGTTCTACTCTAAGGTCAGTGGTACGATCCCTGGCTGTGTCGGGGAACCTGCCAGAGGTACAGACATATGGTAGGTGGGCTTCAACGTTCTACTCTAAGGTCAGTGAATGTATCGATCCTGGCTGTGTCGGGGAACCTGCCAGAGGTGCGGGACAGACATATGGTAGGTGGGCTTCAACGTTCTACTCTAAGGTCAGTGAGTGCGATCCCTGTTTCGGGGAACCTGCCAGAGGTACTATGGTAGGTGGGCGGGTCAGTGCGTGCCTGCCAGAGGTACAGACATATGGTAGGTGGGCTTCAACGTTCTACTCTAAGGTCAGTGGTACGATCCCTGGCTGTGTCGGGGAACCTGCCAGAGGTACAGACATATGGTAGGTGGGCTTCAACGTTCTACTCTAAGGTCAGTGGTACGATCCCTGGCTGTTTCGGGGAACCTGCCAGAGGTACAGACATATGGTAGGTGGGCTTCAACGTTCTACTCTAAGGTCAGTGGTACGATCCCTGGCTGTGTCGTACCACTGGTTTCTGTTTCTAAAACTCATATATCCTGAACGTTTCTGTCACTCACTCACTGTTGTTGCTGCAGGAAGTGCCCAGCCGTGTGCCGGGACCGTTCCCAGGAGCAGATCATGTTCGCCTGGGCCAAAGCTGCACCACCCACTCGCCTACCTAAAGGTGACTTTCATCTTACATTGTTGTCTTTCCTTCACTCATTTTACTTTCAAATGTGCAAATAGTTTGATGAAGTTGACACACTGAACAGTAATATGAATACATAGCTCCAAGCTGTGTAATGTATCACAAAGATAATTTCATAATCAAGTATATTTGAATTCAAACTCAGAGGGGCTATGTATCTGGAAGTATTTGAAAATATGTGTTAGTTACCATTGTTACTACAGCAAAATGACCTTGTGATCGGCACAGTTATTTTAGTCAGTGTGTTGCGCTCTACCATTATGAATAACCATGACCAGTTTTGTAATACATTACCTTTTGTAACTGAACTTTTCCATTTGTGAATAAAATTCACTATTTCTAATTGAAAGTTTACCAATAATTTTCTGCAAAGCATTATTTGCCCCACATAATATTAATTAAGTTTGGAACTGAGGAAACCAAATAGAAAATAAATATCTTCAGCAGTGATGTTATGCAGATACTTAACATCATAATGTGATGTTCACACATCCTGAACATCAGTTGGTCAGCCATGTGACTGACCACTTGTCCAATAGAAAAGCCATCCCTTATGTACACTTCACTTTGTTTGGCTCTCTACTTGCCTGAATCTGTCACTTGACATCATTGTCAGTAGATATGACTGTTAATGCAGTGGTTTTGTTTATCAAAAAACTTAGATACAAAATAACAATTATATACTGGTCCTTCAGACCATTTCACTACCTACATACATATGATGTGTTGACAGATGTTGGTTTTCGAGTGGGTAGAGCCTCGTCCATCAAAACCATCGTGCTACAAGTCCACTACAAGCATAAGTTCAGCGGTAAGTCTCTACGTCACCTAAACAAGGATTGTGCGTGTGGGGCTAGGTGAACTGGATATGCAACTGTATGAATCCTGTGCTGAATGTTTATGTACATACAGGGAAGCATCCAGACCAAGGGGTTGTGGGATATATGCAGGTGTGTCATTACTTCTGCTAACTGGAAAGTCAAATTACATGCAAATAGCATTGTGTTGAGGCACCTTGTTGATGTAGTGGGAGGTAGGATCTAAAAACACAATGTAAACAACACATTGGTAATTGCCATGTCCGTCACATACTGTGACTTGAATTTTGACCCAAAGCAGTAATCGGCACTAATCATTCTAAAATCCCAAGTTACCTGGTCAAAGTCAAACATTTCAGTTGCTTTCTTTGAATTTTTGAGCTTGATCATGTGACTGCCTTTCCCTGGAGTGCCCAAATAGTGAGGTAAACTTCTTAAACATCATAAAACACATTTTTCATATAAGGTATCATAAATATCATCCAGTCAGCAATTGCTGGCTGGGTTTGGTGAAACATAGATCTGCCTAAGGTTCAGAGGCAGAAATAAATCACTGTTATGCAAGAATGAATGTTTTCCACCCCTACTCTCCTGTTTGAACCTTGTCCAAATGTAATATTTTGTCTTGCAGAAACTATGCCTCGTGACTACTCAGGAATACGTATCTATCTCACTCCTGAAAGGTGAGAATAATGAAATTTATACCTCAGTTATGCTGCTGTTAGTTTCATAATGCACACACACACCTACTGGGACTCATTTCTCAGGGCTTTGTGTGCTGGGCATATAGTTATAACATTGAAAAGTCAAAGACATGACATTTATTCTCTGCGGATCGAGTTGTGAAAACCTGTACAGTATTCAGTCATGGAAGGGAACATGCTGGTAGTCCTAGGGGAACAGTTAGATGTCTTTAAAGAAGGAGGATGTCAGTAAACTTTGTAAAGATGTGATTGACATTATCTGTTTCAGACAGAAGTATGTTGCAGGAATACATCTGATGGCATCCTACAGAATTGAGATCCCCCCAAACACCCCTGGTGAGCACTTAGTTTTCATGTAAACACATGCAGCAGTTTGATTGAAGAAATGTGGTTAAAAGTTAGTTGTTTCCAGTTCTGCCTGTCTTGTTTGATTCCTTTAATGTATGATTGGTGAACCCAGGATGTTACGCATGGATGACTTGTCAATACACAGTTTCACCATCAATCATTCAGTGAGTAATTGTGTGGTGTCCCTGACATTACTTTGAAATGCTGTGCTGTATGAAATCTACCTTTGCTTGCAGTGACTCACTCTGACATCAGCTGCACATACACCGGACCCAAGCCTATGCATCCCTTTGCCTACAGGACACATGCCCACAGTCTTGGTACGTACTGGGCTGTCGCTTGGACAAGTTACAGCTTGGGCCTGTTTCACATGGGGGCCTGTTACAGCTGGGGCCTGTTACAGCTGTGAGCAGTTGCTGCTGGGACCAGTTAGGACCTGGTACAGCTGGGGCCTGTTACACATGGGGGCCTGTTACAGCTGTGTCTAGTTACAATTGGGGCTTGTTACAGCTGGGGACAGGGACCTGTTACAGCTGAAGCATGTACATGTAACGACTGTTGTCCTTGTGAATGATGTTACATTCTTCAGTCAATATGTGAGATATGACAGTAAATGATCTCTTTCCTGTTTCCACCCTGGCTGATATAAGGTAATGTAAGAATTGCTCCTCCTTAAGTCAACAGACTGCCTCTATGGCCTATAGGTGAAAATATATGTGTCCATCAAGCAGTAAGGCATATCCCCGGGGCCCCATCTTACCAAAGTACTATAAAACATGGACCTTGTTGTTTCCCTGCCTGGTGCTCAACACTGAAGGCTTTAAACACAGACTGGCCAGCCCGAAGCAGTGTAATGTGCTTCTGAGGAGACCAGCACTGTAGAACTTGTTTAATTGGACCTCTTGCCACACACCCATTTCAGGGTACATCACCTATCAAGTGAAACACACTGCACCTCTCAACTCACCTTGTATTTGAATGTTAAATTCTGATTATGTGCTGAAAAAACGTTTGCGTCAATTTTCAGGAAAAGTGATATCTGGTTATCTCTTCAACGACACCTGGTATGAAATTGGCAAGGGCAATCCACAGTGGCCCCAGGTAGGTAGCAGATAGTAAGGGGAATTGGGGAGTTCTTTAATATGTTGTTGAAATTTAATAGTATTTCCTTTGGAAGCAAGTAGTCAATCCTGTATATCTGTAACTGCCATTTGGATTGTATGCATCTACTGGTCCAAACATTGTTGTACAGTTAGGGAAACACCGACAAATACAGCCAGCAGGAGAGTGAGTGATGGTGTGGACGGCCTTTGTATCTGCAGGGAGTATAATATTCATAAGTTGACTTTTGTTTTACAGGCATTTTACCCAGTAAATGGCTCCTTCACTGTGAACCCAGGCGATGGACTGGTAAGCTGACCACATAACCCGTAGACATGTTCTACCTTGTCATAACATATAATGTGTTGATGAAAGAAGAGATATAATCTGACTTTCCTTCACACTTGAAACAATGTATCTATGTTCTGCCAAAACTGTACCTGAGGATCTTCACAAACCACAATATGTTTTGTAAGTCAAGTCTGTGTCATTAACAGCATGACACTACATGTTTTGTGACACTTTCACTTCTCACCAAGCTGTGAAGGTGCTGGCACAGTGTGACCTATGTGCTCCATGTCAGGCAGTGGCATTAGATGTGATGGGGACGGTTTGGACATGGGAGTCAGTTACCCATCAGACTGCATCCGATACACAGTACAGTGTGTCAGGACATGCCAGAAGCTCTTGGCAGTAGTATCGTCAATATATACACCAACATCTTCATCAAGCACTATTTTATTCCAACAGGCTGCACGATGTACCTTTGATTCAACTAGCAGGAATAGAGTCACAAACATTGGGTAAGTTTGTGTGAATGAAAATTAAATTTCCATCGAGTAGTCATTCATTCACTTTATTGTGATTTGCCCAGGTGAGAAAAGGTCCCCAGTTGTGTTACCTGAGTAGTGGGTGTGACCTGGCTGGGCGTGTCATGAGGCCCATACAGCTGTGCTCCTCCTACTGGCTGACTGCCACATAGCCATCAACCAATCTGAGACCTCTCTACAATCTAGTTACACAGGACGTTTGCAACATAACAAGACACTGTGAATGTAATTACTCATGAGCTATTTCATGTCCTTCCTTTGGTAGTTTTCATTGCAACTGATATTTCTGGTTTGAGAGTTTACTTGATGATGACTTGTTTTTTTCCCAACAGAGCTACAGGAGCAGATGAGATGTGCAACTTCTACATCATGTACTACACCGACTCCAGCGTCAAGATGCCCTCGGGGCAATGTGGGGGAAACCAGCAACCCAATCTCATCGCCAACATCCCCCAGGACTCCGACGTCCCTCTGCCACCGAACCCGGAGCTGGAGGAGGAAGCTATGGGACATCATCACCATCACTCTGGCATGCAGACCGAGGCCTCGCAAACTGTGGACCAGACAGGTAATGACATGCCTTACTTGGGAGGCCAAGGCTACTCAATGCAAGAAGACTATCCTGACTATTCTTTGTATTCAGAATATTTGAAAAATCTAGGTCCTATGAGAAATCAAAAAAAGGTTCGGACAAGATTATTATGATGATCTTGGGGAGTCGCGTGATGATGACCGTGATGCTTACTCTCGGAGTAGTTTCCGACGGAATCGAAACAGGAACAGGAATAAGGCTTTTGAAGAAATGAACCGGCAGCTTAGTGAGGTTCCACATGACAGACGGCCATCCCTGAAGAACACAGATTCCGAGTACAATTCAAGAGGATACGTGGCCAGGCCGACTGACAGGCCAAGACAAGGGGGGACGAACTCTAAGCAGCTCCACAGATCATGGCAGCCAGAGTGAAGCCAGTCGTAAGACACATCGTTGTGGCATGTTACCAGATGCAGTGTTGTTGTGTCACATTGTTTCCTGATTTGTCATGAAGGTAGTTGTCGCTGATAGTTGCACAGTACTGATCCCGTTCGATTCATTAGGCTTAGTGTCTGCTTTGTTTTATAGTAGTCGTGATCTGTTTGGATGTGTTTACTGTTTTGTGTGTGTGTAGAGATAGGTCTCCCACTTTGCACAGCACTGAATTTACCCCCAGCAGCCAGCAGGTGTGGGTGTCAAGCTGACACACCCAGAAACATAACTGGGATAATCAGGATTCAAACCCCACAATCATAGCTTACTGACGTGCCGTGATGCTGAACAGTAAATTGTGCCAGCCTAGACTACTGGGCCACCTTTGCACTCTCCAGTCCCTGTGTGTGTAACGTGTAGAGAATGCTCTGGAATGACCTCCGCTATGTACTGGACAATATCAGTTGTATCAATATTTTCTTGTGTGTAATATTTTTCACCCTCACAGGCATGTCTTTCTATATATTGCACATGGTAGTGCTCATGATTATTTCACAAGTGTATTCTATGTATTAGTATTGAAGATAGGGTAGATTTGCCATGTAATGTGCAGTTACATGATTGGCATACCACTGTCTCCATCACCACACGTGTCACTAACAGCATGGACAGCTTTCTTCTGTGGGTGTTCCAGATGATAATCAGTAGCATGTTTTGTCATCAGTAGAGATAATTGACAAGCTGAGTAATGAGTATTTGTCAGGGTGTTAAATGTTGTAAGCAGGGAGCTGATGGTCTGGTTGAAACTCTCACAATTTTTCCTTATCCTGACTCATGCTCTTTTGCTTGTCTTCTTCTTCTTGCGAACATAGTGGAACACTTGTATCTCCTTATTTGAAGCTCCCTTCAAAATAAAATCACTAATTGGTACTCACCACGAGTTGCTCCCCTTGGTCTCCCCTGGCGGGAAAGGTGTCGCCACCCTCTGGCCATGTGCTTCACTCTCTCCTTCTTCGCCCAGTGAGCAGGATGTGAGAGCGCCTTGTGTCTCCTTACACACATATCCTTTGATAATCTCTTAGTTTTTACCTCTCATAGGTTACTATAGAGGTATAGCTAGTATCCTTTACTATTTGTATTGATTAATTATCGTGATTTCTACTGTTTATTCACGGTATTCGTGGATTGTTCAGCTAGCTTTACGCTCATGAAAATCTGTACGATTTGTAGATTACGCTTTTCTGCCTCCGATCCACATGTAATATGCCCTAGTTGTTCTACCGCAGCGCTTTAATTCACGCTGCAGTTACTGCATTAATTTATCTCATTCTGCATTTAATAAATATCATCTTTATGTCTTAAGACGTGCTGCAGATAGATCACGCAAAACAAGGGCAAAACATGGCAGAGAGTCCAGATATTCCATCCAGTCAGCTGCTAGCGATCGACCCTCTCCGCGCCTGGTGTTCTGCTAGAGACCCCTGCGCAGAGGAACGTGGACGCAGTCCGTTACTCTCGATGAAACGACCGCCTCCCCAGACATCCCGCCATTGCAGACTAAGTCTAAGAGGGCCTCATCGTCGTCTCAACGCAGATTGAGGACACCCAGGGCAGCGCAGACTTCCAAAGGGAAATCTACGAAGACAGCAAGAACTTTCTCAGCCGAGATCGTTCCAGCAGCAGAGTTGGGCCTCTACGATGATCAGCCGATAATCATCCCCGACTTACGGCAGAAGAAGCGACCGGTGTCAGCGACTGTGACTTCTGCAGAGATCTCCATGCAGCCTGATGCCTCTACACCGACGTCAGACGTCATTGATGTGAACCCCATCGCAGAAAAGACGCCGACGACTTCGTCACAGATCATCCCAGAAGACATGATGCGGCAGATTATGAACATCATGGAGGACCACTACAAACTGCGCAAGCAGGGTCCGAGCCTTCGCGAAGGCTCCAACGTAGACAGCACCCCAGAGGCACCCCCCGTCAACGTAGCAGCCAAGACGATGTCACCTTCGCGAAGGAAGTCCCGCACCACCTTGACGAAGGACCTAGATGTACAGCCTTCGCGAAGGCCTTCGCGAAGGCGGGAGAGATCATCACCATCTTCGATTTCATCTCTAGATATGGACTCAGACCATCAGACATCACGGAAGCCTTCGCGAAGGTCATATCATCGATCCCCCGGACCGGACGCAAATGAAGCTTCGCGAAGGCATTCGCGAAGGACATATGATTCCAGATCTTCATCGTCTAGAAGAACATCGAGGGACTGCCGAAGAGCTTCAGCGGCTATCAACATTCACCTCACAAGTCTCGAAGATCATCCCATAGACGATCTCCACCGCTTCATCACCAGGTCGATCACCCATCAGATCTCCACATAGAGCGCGCACAAGTCAACTAGATCGCCACAAACCTCATCAGATATACAGACAGCTACACGCAGTCCCGGCGAGCATCTACAATTTATTAATGATGATGGTTTTGAGGATGATGGAGGAATCATATTTTCTGATGCAGATACGGTATTGGATGGTCAATAACCTAGATCTCACATCACCATCTAAAAGTGGCAATACAGCTCAGACGCATTTGATGAAGGAAGATGATCCAGATGCAATCACTCTACCCCGATCGAATCCGATTAGCGGCAGTGCCACAGAATCTAGATGCAGCTTTCCAGAAAGCTACGAAAGTTCAGATACCACATCTGCCCAACTTTCAAGCCAAGAAGTTCTCCACGATAACATGGACTCCTTCTACAAGGCCCAGGACATCGATGAGAACTATAAGATCATCAGCTATGTAAAGAACAAGATTTACAAGATGGATGATCGCAGTTGGCTCATATAGAAACCATGACGAAAGACGTATGTTCTTTGGGTTAAATAGATCTAGGACGATCAATGAGACTCTTATTACTAGATTCGGGATTCCACGACGGGAAGATGATAGAATGATTTATTCTGCCTTACTTATGCAAAAGAAAGATCAGCAGTTTTAACGGATCATCTTACATCTGTTTCAGCAGCACTGACCTTAGCTCGTCGTCAAGGCCTCCTCAGCTTCCTGTAATTGGGGAGAACTTTACAGCCCCACTTTATACAGCCCCGTGGTCGACAACATCCATCTTTGACGGAGAAATCGACAAAGTCGCCAAGGAAGTCTCTAAGATTCCAGGGAAGTCCTTATGATTAGATCGATGGACACACTAGCCAGCGTCCATTCGTCAGACTTCACAAAGATACTCAGGCAGATCTAAGTTCACGGGCCACAAAGAGCAAGAGACAGGAAGATAGCCAGCTCTAGAGGTAAAGATTCTTTTCGTCACCATATGGCAACTATAGAGGAGGATCAGGAAGAGGCAGGACACCCAGAGGTTCCCGCAATTATAGACGCTGAAACACAGGTTCGGAACGACTGGAGTCTTCCACCCCAGCCGCTCCAGTACAACCAGCTCAAGTGGGTGGACGCCCAACTACACTGGGAAAACTGGGGAATACTGCAAGACCCTTACGTCTCCAACATTCTTCAACACGGATTTCGTATCCCTCTACAGGCCAAGCCTCCGCTGACAATCAAACCCCCCAAGTTCGATTTACAAGCGCAACAACTACCAAAGATAAAAGAGGCTGTTTCATCACTCCTATCCAAACAGGCCATAGAAGTAATAGATCAAGCAAACGTCGAACCAGGTTTCTACTCCCCAGTTTTCCTAGTTCCCAAGAAAAACTCCACGGAGAAATACAGACTCATCTACAACATGAGCTTTTTCAACAAGAACTATCTACGCGAAACCAATCGGTTTCAAGATGATACATTTACCTCAGTTACGCCAGATGATTCATCCTATGGACTACATGGGCAGCATAGATCTACAGGATGCCTACTTGCACATCCCCATTCATCCCGATTCCAGGAAATACCTCACGATTTACTCTAGAAGGGCTACATTACCAGTGGAAAGTACTCCCATTCGAATATCATCAGCCCCTGGCTATTCACGAGGATAACGAAAAACCGATTATCAAATTTCTACATCGTCAAGGGCTACGCGAGTGCTTTTACCTCGACGACGGGATACAAGTAGATCAAGATCCACTGGCGCCTCAAACTACAGTTAAATTACATCATAAAGCTACTAACACAACTAGGTTGGTTAGTAAACTTACGCAAGTCGGACCTAGTACCATCGCAAAGACCTACAGTTCCTAGGTATTCGATTCATCACAAATCGCAACCGTATTATGGTACCAGAAGACCGTTGGCTCAAGATACAACAGACCATTCCACCAGCTCTACTCTCCTCGCTACCACTGCTACAATGGCAGAGCCTACTAGGTCTTCTCAAGATCAGCCCAAGACATGACTGTCACAGGCAGATTACAGTTACGCCCCCTACAGGTCCTCATCAACGACATCTCAACGATGTACAACCATTCAGTCTACCGAAACATCTCAGACCACATCTACTATGGTGGACCAAGAAATCGAATGTTCATGAAGGGATTTGTTTAGCAGAGCAGGAATACAAAACCCATCTGTATGTAGATGCTGTTACTCCAAGGTTGGGGAGCTCATCTCACCAACCACACGATATCAGGGTTATGGAATCAGCAAGAATGCAAACTCCATATAAACAGTCTAGAAATGAAAGCTGTAATCAACGCCATTCTACATTGGAGCACATTTCTACAAAATGCGCTAATGATCCATACAGACAATTCGACAGTGGCGTTTCTACATAAACAAGCAAGGCTCAACGAGATCGATGAACCTTTTGAACCTAAGCTTTCAACTGTTCGATTTAATACAAGATCTAAATCTACATGTCAGAGCAGTGCACATTCCCGAGCCAGAAATATACTAGCAGACGCTTCTCTCGCCTCATCTACCATCACCGACAGAGTGGATGATCAACAGGGAAATTTTTGCACAGATAATCAAGCAATTAGGGCCGCCGCTAATAGACCTATTCGCCACGCCGATTCAACAATCAGCTACCGACATTCGTGTCACCAGTCCCAGACCCCCAAGCTTGGGCAACGGACTTCTAAGTCTATCATGGAAGGCCTCAATGCGCACGCGCTTCCGCGCCAGCAATAATACCTCAAGTATTACAGAAAATCAGACAAACACAGAGCCTACAACTCACTTTGGTCGCTACTCTTACTGGCCGGGCCAGAGAACGTGGTTTCCCATACTAATTCAAGAAATCGGTCAACCAACACTGGAGCTACCCAAGCAGCCAAGAAACCTGTTAATTCATCCTCACACCAAACAAGTGCACGGAAACCCAGCAATGTTCCAACTACACGCATGGACTGTATACAAATGTGTTTAAACAAGAGAGGATATTCTGCCAGGGCGGCAAAAGCAGTCACGCTTTGTTTACGTTACTCAACTCGTGAACTTGTACGACCTACAAGTGGCACAGTTTCAAAATTATGCAACAAAGAAAGGGTTTACAGCAAGAGAGGCTTCACAACCTCAAGTGGCAGACTATTTGTATTACCTACGCCAAAACAAACATTTAAAAGGTTCAACGATATCAACATATCTTGCCGCTTTAGCTCTGTAATCACCATGAGAACGGGTGTCAAATTGACAAGATCTCCAGAGTTACTGGCCTTACTACGAAGCTTTCGATTGGAGGACCAAAGCGAAGTTCCACGCCCAGCTTGGGATCTGAATGTAGTGTTACAACACCTCACGAAAGTGAGGTCTATGAACCTTGAATCGACAAACTTTGAATTTCTCTCACAGAAAACATTGTTTCTGCTATCGCTAGCCACAGCAGCAAGAATGTCTGAAATTCACGCTCTGGATTACTTAGAGGGATACAGTTTGATGACAATCATAACACAGCACTCGGATTAAGATGGGATTTCATCGCGAAAATCAACTGCCAGGTCAACCAGACAGATTATTCCACATCCCGGCTTATCCTCTATTCTCGATCACAAGATACACAAGACCTATCACTGTGTCCGTAAGAGCTCAAAGTTTATTTACGACGATCCAAAACAAGGAGAAGATTTCTCAAACGCTTATTCATCCCATTATCGCCACGAATCAAACAGAAGTGTCACGGACCACAATATCTATTTGGATAAGGACTGTCATTCTCCTGCGCCTACAAGGCAGCAGGCTTGGGACCCACCAACAGCATCAAATCCACATGAGATCAGGGCACTGGCCTCTACCCTCAGCTCTACACGGTAACTGTTCCTTGAACACGATTATGGAAGGATGCTATTGGAAATCTAACATGGTATTTGCTAATCACTACCTAAGAGACATCACTACAGAAGATGTCTCTGGCATTCACCATTTCGACCACTGGTCCTCGCCAGCAACTGACAGTCCCTCGTAGGGCTTAAAATATTATCCTCACAAGATTAATATGTATTTTATACATACTCATCTAGCTTATAACTCTACACTGGAGTTTTAGGGCTATGTATATATGTTCAGCTTAAGTATTCAACCTTAAGCATATACTTGATATAGTCAATTTCAGTGCCTCTATCAGAGTCACCTATATATATATATATAATTTATATGTATTGTTCAATATATTCATAATGTAATTCCCCTTTAATGGCTTTATATAACCTATGGTTTTCTTTATACAGGAAACATCCTAAATCTAAGCCTTCATGAAGTTCCGTGAGGGGATATTACAGTATATCTATACAAAATCACTAATTATAAATCCAAAGTATTCTGTTACCCACCTCTCCGTCCGTGAGGATGCTACAAGCAAAAGAGCATGAGTCAGGATAAGGAAAAATATGTAATTTTAGAGTAAAATTGATATTTTATACTTATCCTGACTCATGAGGTTAGCCCTCCCATCCTCCCCACATAACACTTTGGATTTCCCTGTAAATTCAAGTGTTGGGCTCGCTAAATCAGGAGAGAGTGGAGCACATGGCCAGAGGGTGGCGACACCTTTCCCGCCAGGGGAGACAAAGGGGAGCAACTCGTGGTGAGTACCAATTAGTGATTTTATTTTGAAGGGAGCTTCAAATAAGGAGATACAAGTGTTCCACTATGTTCGCAAGAAGAAGAAGACAAGCAAAAGAGCATGAGTCAGGATAAGTATAAAATATCAATTTTACTCTAAAAATTACATTTTTGATTGGTCCAAGCACTGTTTGCATCAGCTGCCATTTGACCTAGCTTGTGTTCAGATTCATTATTTAAAACATTGTCACCATGTGAAGTGAGCTGATATACAGCATGTTTGAACCTGAATAGTACGTCTTTAGGAATGAAATATTATGAATTGTTCTATGTTTTGTTATATATTGTTTTACTCCCACAAATTTGGGATACTGAACCATTCTGTATTGTCACTAATAGATTCCTCTACTTGCAAGTTGATGTTATGCAAACTGTGTCAAATGGTCATCTTCTGTTCACTTGATTTTTGCTTAAAGATCATTCCCTTGTCTGTTCATAGCCTACTTATAGCCATGATCTCAGGAACTACTGCTCCGTTGGGGTGTGTAACATTGTACACAACCAGTATCATGCCTGTGGATCTGTTGCAGACAAGGCAGATAACCTCCCTGACCCGCTGGTGTTTGACCCCTCCTGGCCCGCTGAGGAGCTTACCCTGGGGCAGATCGGAGGCATGGCCACAGATAAGGAAGGGAATGTGTACATCTTCCACAGAGGCAGTAGGCAGTGGGACAGTCGGTACGTGTCAGGTCCTGTAGACTTTGCATGGAATTTTAACCAAAGTCCAAAATAGTGGTACATATTTAAATTTTTGAACTAATTGTGTTCATTCACCTGGACAACGCTGCTCATGTATAAAGTGGTTGTACTGGATTGAGTATTGCTGTTTGTTGCAGGACATTTGACATCAACAACAAGCTGATCCCCAAGGATCCCATACCGAGAATGTGATCATTGTCCTTGACAAGAAGGGCAAACTGGTCCGCAGTTTGGCAGCAATCAGTGAGTATTTACCTCAGTCTTCTGGAACACCTAGTGTTGTTGTAGTAAAACAGTGGTGACCCAAGCTGTATCAGCTCATGTCAATAAAAGTTTGAAAAAAGTAAAACATATTACTGTTTCATCGTTTCTGTGCATAATGACAGTATAGGAAGTGGCCTAGTTTCCATACATCTCTGCAGCTCCTCCTATTTGTGGTATGTTCCAGATTCTATCTGCCCCATGGTATCGAAGTGGACTCCAAGGGCAACATCTGGGTCACCGACATCGGCCTGCACCAGGTACAGTAGTCATGGAGGGATTCTTGCCACGGGTTCAGGTGTAAGCTGGTCTGTGTCACTGTATCAGACCACATCGGTCTACATCTGTTTTCGGCATGTTACATGGTTATATCCTTGGCTGAGATTCTAGGTAGATGTGGCTCACAAAGACATAAAAGTTAGAATTAAGCCAATGATTTGTCCCTTTCATTGAATGTGACAGCAGGTGTCCCCCTACCTCCGACTTTGTCCAGTGTTTCAGTCATTGTTCCAGGTGATGAGAATCCCCAAAGGTGCGTCCGCCCCAGACTTGGTCCTCGGTAAACAGTTTGAGCCTGACAGCGACAACGAACACTTCTGTAAACCAGCAGACATCGCAGTCATGGAGTCTGGGGAGTTCTTTGTGGCAGATGGGTCAGTGATGTTTACAGCTCAGTATCTGCAGGAATATACACGGTTCCTCACAGAGTATAGCCCTCACAGGCTGGGCCACGATCGATGCTCATCATGGGGTTATCATTCTTGTGGGCAGCGTGCATAGAATCAGGGGCAATACTAGTGCTGCAGTTATTGTAACTCTTATTTATTGTACACAGATTTAAAATATCTGAGCTCAAAGATCTCTCAGTGAAACAGGCTCAATTTCTGAAAAGGGCTGGTTTTTGATTGAAACTCTTAAAAAAGGGTACCCTTCAAGATTTTTGTCTGTGGTGTAGTAGAACGAATGATATGTTAACCAGCCTGATGTAATGATACATTTGTTGACACTACTGAACATGAAACATGACAGCTTGATCTTCCTCACTCACTCTCTTCCACGCTGCTTTGTTCCAAGAACTTTACCTAGAAGAAATGAAAGTTATTACAAATCACACCTAGTTACTTCTATGTTTTACAAACTGCAGTAATATTAAAGAATCTAGATGATAAGGACCTCCATGTCCTTCTCAGTAGACTAGTGTCAGTATTTTGGCTGTCAGGTGTACGTGATGAAGGTGCCCAAAACAGCCTGCAAATGTATTTCTAATAAATATACATCTTGATACATCTGGTTTCTCTGTAACTCTCCAACTGTCAAGTGCTGTCTGAATTAATCCTGATTGACTGTGGTATGTTCTTGTTGCAGCTACTGTAACAGCCGTGTTCTCAAGTACTCCAGCAACGGCACATTGCTGGATGAGTGGGGGCAAGCTGACTTCACAGACAATGGTAGGAGATGGTCCCTTGTCTGCACCTTTCCTCTCACTGTGAATGCAATCTTACAATTGTAATGGTAACCTGTCATTATTGTGAGTTTTACAGCCTTTTGTCAGTAAGGAAGGACATACAGTGTACTCATTCCTGTAGCATGTGAGAATACTGTGCCTTGTCACTGTATGTTTCTCTTGATCATTACAGGTGATGCTGGAGTCCCCCCATCTGTGTTCAACATCGTCCACAGTGTGACTGTAGCAGAGGACAAGAAGCTGGTTTGTGTAGCAGATCGAGAATGGACGGATACAATGCTTTGATCTGGATGGAAACTTCCGATTTATCATCAAGAACTAACACATGGGTCCTCGTGTGTTTGCCATCGAAAGTACTGTCCTCTGCATGGTCAGTGATCTCTCCGCCTTGCATTATTCATCTTTGGGAAAAATCAAATCCAGATATGCACCTTGTCCGTTAATGTTATGACAGTTCTAGCTGTGTCTCACACCTGTTTTATTATGTGGTGTTGAATGAATCAGTCAGACCAGGAAGTAGCTAACCCAGTATTGTTCCCTTTCAGGCGGATCCTGTTTGCTGTAAATGGACCCACCCCACGATGACAAGCAGACCAAAGTCCAGGGGTTCACCATAGCCCTGAGCACAGGAGACCTGCTGCAGACGTGGGACATCCCCAATGTAAGACTCATTCTCTACTTAATGAATAAGTACATCTGGCTTCTTGTATTCAGGGGCGTTCGGTAGCCTAGTGTTTAAAGGGTTGGCTCGTCATGCCAAGACCCAGGTTCGAATCGCCACATGGGTACAATGTAAAGCCCATTTCTTGTGTCCCCTGGCCGTGATGTTGCTGTAATATTGCTAAAATCGGGCGAAAACCAAACTCAGTCAGTCACTCAGTCTTGTATTCAGATATTCAAATATGTACCAGCTGTTGCATTATGTAATTGCTTCTAAACTTTTTACTGTATTATTGTTATGTGAAGTCTACCCATCATTACACTAGGCAACAATGATGAGGTGGAAACAGATGATAACATTAAATGTGTGACACTTCTACAGGGTCTACGGAACCCCCATGATGTGACAGTTGACTCCACCGACCATGCTGTGTATGTGGAGAACTTTGATCCGCACAAAGTGTGAATGCCTCAGTATGAATGTTCCCACAAAGACGGACACAGTCATTGGTAAGTACATCCATAGATTAGATGTTCAGAAGGTTTGTTAGGTTTTAAAAACAGTAAAGAATTAACATGCAGTATTGTTCATGCAGTCACATACACCTGGGTCCATTATGTTGACCTACACCCAACAAAACATGCTGCTTCAGTCCTGGTGCTGTATTCAACAAGATATCTTCATGTTCTTCGCTATGAGTTGTCAAATGTAAGTGAGATGTCCAGAGCAGGCTAGAATTGTGTCTATGTCAGGGCTATCTCCCTTGCACAGTCTTTGGGTATTCCACAATCAGGTCATTCATGCTATTGATGCAGGTGAAGTTTGGCAGGTTCCAGGGAATCGAGCCTGGAAGATTTATCATGGCCGCAGGTAGTGTGGTTGAAGTAACAAGCAACCATTTCTCTTTTACTAACATTATCCACATGTCCAGAATCTGTGTGGTAGACAGCTTGGCTTCCATTCCTCTCTATGGATTCCTTCAGCCATCTTTTGTTATATCATTTGGAACGCTACTGCTACATCATTTGCCCTCAAGCAGTAAGGTATTGATTGACACCTTGGTGTTACATCTGTCTCACACCTGTCTGTGTGTCTCTCAGTAGTTTCACACAGTTTCACTATTTGTTCACTCCAAGACTAGTTTTACACCTGTCTCAAACAAGCTTTCTGTTTTTCTTCACCAAAGTTATAAACCTCACTGTTATTCAAGACTGGTGTCTCACTAAATACAAAATAGTGACATTTGAAGTTCATCAAGTCACGAGTCAAGTATTCATCAACTCCCATCTTCAACAGAGATCTGTTTTACTGTTGTTGTGTCCCCATGTATTGCAGCTGTTCCTGATAAGAAAGGCTTTGCTGGGAAGCCCAAGGACACAAGTGACACAACAGGGACACAGATGCCCCCTATTGCAGGCACAAGCAACAGTTCCGTGACTCAGGAGATGAAGGACGTCCATGACAAGAAGTCTGACTACATGCCCTCTATTATCATCGGTGTGTTGTTGATAGTTCCGGTGGTGTTGCTGCTGGTAGTCACAGTCATCATCCGACTGCACCATTCAGGTAAGCCAGGGCAGAAAGGAACAACAAATATATAACACCTAGATCAATGGCTGATTCATTATATGACTGGATTTGGCGATGTTCATAGTGCTGTAACTAGTGTAGGTCACAGTAGTCATAACGCTTTGATTGTTTCTGGAATGAGGACCCACTTAGATATTTTTCCAAATTGGTAATGGCTGTACTTCAATTCATACCCTCACTAAGTCTTAGCCTGATTGGTTTGTGGAGTTGTCTTCTTGTTACCAGTCTGTTTTCAGTAACAGTCTTCCATGTAGCTTCATTTGAATGTGTGTTCAAATTCAATACTTGAGATTGTTTGTTTTTTCATGATATTTTAGTGTGCTACTCTAATGTCGCCCAGCTTATGTCTGTACATTCTTGGAAGTTTTGGTTGGAAAATACTTAAATAATAGGGCAATGACCCACACGCTGAATGTTGAAAAGTTCAGAATGATGTGATCACATTCTTGATAGTTGTAAGCAGTGAAGCTTCTCTCCTTTTATACTTTATGAATTGATTAATTGTTAGTTTATTAATGAAGTCATTATTGTTTGCAGGTAAAATATCCTGTTTCTCAGGCAAGAAACAAAAGGTGTTTAGTCTCCAGAGTTTCCTCGGTAACTCTCACAAGGGTTTTGGACCGACTGAGCACAGAAGAGAGTGACCATGAACTTGACCCACTTGATGACCTCGGATCAGGAGGAGTACACGGCTCCCAGTAAGAAGCAGAGGGCGTGATTCTGCTTCTGTGTGATTGCCTCCTCTTACACTGAAAAACTATGCCTTCAATTATTCAGATGCTTATTTTGGAGATAAACTGGGACTCAGTGTTGTTATAATTGATCTTTTACTCGGCTACGATGCCTCTGGGGATGAAGATCTTTTACTCGGCTACGATGCCTCTGGGGATGAAGATCTTTTACTCGGGTACGATGCCTCTGGGGATGAAGATCTTTTACTCGGGTACGATGCCTCTGGGGATGAAGATCTGAGGTCACCTCTAATTTTCACATATCTAATCAGCCAATCAGACATCTCCAAATTAGCTGTGCAATTTCTGATTTACAACCTTGGAAATGAACTGATATGACACTTCCAAATGTGGAAAAGTGACATTGTTTGATGTTCTAACTGTGGACATTTTGTACGCTCTGTGTCGAGCTCTGTGTACTCTCGTCACCCAAAAAGCCACCCATGGAAGGAATATCTGTGTTATAGGTGGGAACTTACACATTCTGTCTGAGACTGAGCAGCTCAAGGCTTACCTGACCTTCAATGGAGGTGTCATCAGATCTACACAGAGGTATCACAGAGAGTACAAGATCTGATTGTAATGAGAATAAACTCGCCTTCACTTCAGGGAGAAGTCCATATATGCACAGTCCCAACTGGGATACTATTTAGGCTCATGCGCGTGGCTTCCTCTGGAATTTCCAATTTCCTCGCTATAAGACCCTGGCCACAGCTGATGAGGCGCTGATTAGTTGACTCCAGTGTGTCAGGTGGTGTTACAATCAGCATTCATTGAACCAGATTCTGTTTGGAATATGACTTGTGAAACATTTCTTTCACCTGACATTCATTTAGATATGACTCTGACCATGTGCATGAGTAAGGTTTTTGAGAGGCATGGTCATTCTTTTCAAGTCAACATAGTTTAGGTTTTCAAAACATGTTACCTGTTTACCCATCTTGCTAGAACTGGCAGCCTCCAATGTGACACACACATTGTCACTTTCACACATTCACACACACAGATTTAGCCTTGTCACACAAGGTCTTAGTGGTGTGCCAGAGTACTTAATGAGACATGGTGACTGCTTGTTCCATCATAGGAACATATCTAGTGTGGGGACTCGAGTGGCCATATTAATTAACATGACAAACATTGGTACTGGTATATCAGTGTCCACATACAGATTGTGGCATGAATGTTGTATTTCTGCATGTTTCCTGGTTTAGGTTTTCTTCAACAGTCACCCCTATACATGTTCCTTTTGTTCACGAAAGTGGTCATTCTGGGACTGGTTGGTCACAATGAGATATTCCCCAGGAGAGCCTGCACTATCTTTCCCGCCAACCACATTTACTCCTTCATGTTTTTCCTCTATATATTTTACTTGAAACTGTGTGATATACAAGGTGCCCGTACATTATTAACAATATTTTCAGTCAGTGTATATTATTCATGAAACTTGTGTTTGGGACTTTTGGGTATGTTTTTAAATTTCATGTTTGCAAAGTTCATCATCATGTCAAGAAACCAAGAAAGACAGAAACTGTGGGCTAGATGACAAAGCTTCCAGTCATTGCATATGTAAGTCACATATAAATATGGTAGCAGTGATGCTGTCAAAGCAGTATTGGTTTGCTGTTTTGTAGTTTCTTCCTTGCTTTCTTACATTCCATGTTAAATCAGCAACTAAGGGAGACATTCATGTAGACTTTGTACATATCAATATGGATAGTTACTTGTTGGCTGGCTGTTGTTGAAGGATGCTGTCGCGGTGATACAGAATGGTGATGAGGTGGAAGTCCGTGTCAGATTGGCAGGACAGTTACAACAGCTGATGTAGTGTACTGAACATAATACAGTCCTTGAAACTGATGTGTGGTAAGTTCTGGACTTTGCGTTTGCTCCAAGCCATGTATGATACGCACCATGATACACTTTGCTTCTAATTTTCTTGAGTTCATATCAGTGCTATCAGTGCTTATGAAGAATATCGTTTTAAGAACTATATGTGTTGTTTAATACAGATCAACCACAGCAGTTTCATTGTAATACATACAAGTAGGGTGTAAGTAGCTGCACACTTTCAGTTGATGATCCCGACATTGTGATGTTAACTGTTTAGCATTGTATAACAGTGTTTAGTGTTTCACAAACAACATATGGAATGTACATATCAGCAGTGTCGTTATGTGATACACCAGGGCATCCTTCCCGTTAGTCACATAGTTTGTTGTTACTCTCACACAGGTAACTTGTACAGGTGTACTAGGTTTGAAGTGTTTGCCAGTACATGCTGTCGTGTGTAAAGCACTGGATTTGGTACCTGTACACTGTACTCCATGAGATACTTTCAGCTCTACTGATGCTGCTATGATTGATGAGTGTAAGCAAATGTCTAGTATCATTATTCTCCTAGCTGTGAGACACCATGTTTATTAGGAAAGCCATCATGATGAAGTTTATATTTACTGCTACCTGACTGTTGTTCACATTATTCGAGGGATATATACATGGCATAATGATTAGTACCTTCACCACCTGGATATATACTAAAGTAATGCTTTGTTCATTGTTCACCTTATCTGCCTTTTATCAGGCAATATTACCAAAACAAATATGAATCTTTGACAAAGTGTGTTTCTTGCCAAAAATTATATGTGAGCTTTTCAGACTTTTGCCCTTGGGTGCAGTGTCAACATAGACTGTATTTACTCAAGTCAAACTGAATGATGTTGATGGCAGCTTCTACTTAAATCAAAGTGTGACAGTAAAGAAAGTAGTTCCTCTCATTTGCTGGACAAAGTTCTTCATGGGTTGACTCAAGATCCTTGTTGGTTTTAATCAGTGGTTTATTTGTATCTGAGGTGAGTGTGTATTTTGTATTCCCTCAGTTGGTAGGAAGCTGTACACAGGGAGTGAACAGATTCTACCTTTGATGGACCCTGTTACACATTAGAGGGTTAATGTCTAGCTTTGTCTACATTCAGCAAAACACATAATCCATTACATGTGATGTTTGGTATCCCAGGAATGATTGCTATTCCATGTGGTGAGTTTCCTCGCTATGTCTGAACTGTGTATTGGCAGTCCAGGTGGTTAGTTGTTCTGATGTATCTGTAATCCAGGCTGATAAACCTCCTGTAACAGTGGCTACCAAATGTAGTATTAGTTGTAATTATGTGAAGTATGTTGAAGAAAAAATCGTTCTTTATATAGTAAAATAGTAAAATGTTTTGATGCACAAGATCTTTTATCAGAAGCAAACTGTTAGTGTAAACATTCCATTTTCCGTCAGTAAAAGGTTTATTTGATTTCCACCTGTTAGAAACAAATCCTTGGTTTTATGAGTAAAGTTGTTTGTTTATTCTTGTTTATGAATATTATGAAAGTGATTTATGCACCTGCTTGAAGTATGGCAGATTGTTGAGCTGTACATTATGATAGCATGGAAAGATTTCTTATGTAAACACTTGAGTTGTCCACAACATATGCAACCACACAGTCGTCGCCACCATTTTGGTGGTGCCCCTTGATGCAGATCCACAGCACAATCTCATGTAACAGGTACAGATTGTGGTCTTTGTCACACTGGGAAATAAATTCATTCTCCAATCTGTTGTAAAGGGTAATGTTCATCTCCATGTGTTGATGAAGTACTTTCGGGTATGACCCCACCTCCATGTGTTGATGAAGTACTTATGTATCACCCCACCTCCATGTCTGCCTTGCTGACTGTCATACTGAGCTTCTGCTCGCGTCCCAGTACCCCCACAGTACTTCATTATACCTTGCCCAGCAATGTCTAGTCAGCTTACCTGTGCAAGTCGAGACATACATGGAGATTATATAGTGTCTATCTGTAACTGTGTAATAACTTGCAGGTGCTGAAAGGAATTCATTGTAGAACAGATATATATGTTAAAGGGGTAATGTACTTTTTGATTTAGCAGGTTTTGCCATACCTTATATGTTCACTATATTGTTTTATATAGAAGGTCTATGTTCCTTTTAGGAAAGGGTAAGTTTGTTTGTTATGTTTGGAAGGTTGGTGATTTGCATTTACTTCTGATGTAGCCCATGGATGTCTTCCTTATGTCCACTACCCAGAAGGTGAAGAACACCAGCTTGTTTGTATGGCTCTGGTTATCCTTCCTGGCCATGGCTGATCACCTACAGTCATAGGAACTATTGGGTATTCTATGGCACATGTTGACTAGTGTACTTCATAGCATTTAGGAGCAAGCTAAGATCATCCCATCATAATTGATTAATGGTTCTTGGTGTTCCTGGTTTGGACCAGTTAAAGTGTCCAGTGAGCAAGGGCAATCTTGATGGTGAGACTACTACAAACACAGGCTTGTGGTTTTTCTCCTCTTGTTGTTTGAGAAATCTGTGACTATCTTAAATGTATTGATATTGTATCAGTTTCTTAAAAATATTTTTTATGCCAAGAGGAGTCAATGTTTTAGTGTTAAAGATATTTAATTGTTTACCTATGTGATATATTGTGTATACAACTTCTGTATACAATCTTAAGGAACAATAGCCTGGTTGTATTATATAATATAGAAATCAAAATGTGCTGTTGTTTGTGAACATTAAAAAAGATATTTTATTGTATGTTTTGTTTGTGTATATTGTATAAATATATGTCAAAATAAATTAATTTTATGATTATATACTCTACTCTTCTGATGATTTTACTTACTTCAAGTTGACCTACTTTCAGGTCATGAAATCACTGGACATCTTCAGAGACACTCGTTCACTCAAACATACTCATCCAATGAAACCAAAGGGTCATTTATGTAATCAAGACCAGTGTACAGATTACATCCAGATCATCCACACCCAAAGATGGATTTAAGTTCTGGACTTCACTTCACAGCAAGCAAACAGGAACCCTCGTGGTTGGCCTTTGCTACAAGAATAATTAGAAATATTGAGCTGTAAAACGAATGTTTAAAATGATTACAATCTAGGGTAGTTTTCTCAACCATACGTATGTAAACAAAGAATTTAGCTAAAGGGTCTGTGAGGTAGCCTAGTAGTTAAAGCGTTCGCTCGTTTACCCGGGTTTGATTCCCCACATGGGTACAGTGTGTGAAGGCCATTTCTGGTGTCCCCCGCCGTGATATTGCTGGAATATTGCTAAAAGCAACATAAAACCATACTCACTCATTTAGCTAAAATTTACAAGTGTTCTTGCATCGTAAAGAGATAAAAATACTTATACAACCACGTAGAACCATTTTTGATGCCAATTGTTTATTGTTTTTATTCTATACTAGCCACATAAAGAAACTGTGGATTGTCAAAATATTATCCCAGTTGATAAGTACGATAACAATGTCAAAGGTACATTAATGGAGGGATCATGAGACCATAAAAAGTCGGGAGAATTTCAATTGAAAAGTCAATCACACTGACGTCACGAGTCCACAAGGGGGACAGGGGTCAAACGACCTTGTCACAAGCTCAATAACGGGTATGTCCACCATCGGCATTGAGAACAGCAGTGCATCGACGACGCATAGAGTCTATCAAACGTGCAAGGAAGGCTTGTGGGATGTCACGCCAGATTCTCTCAAGTTCTGTTGCAAGGTCAAGGACGTTATCTGGCGGATACCGAAGACGGCGTAGACGTCGATCCATCTCGTCCCAAACATGCTCTTTCGGGGAGAGATCCGGTGAATTTGCAGGCCAAGGCAGTAAGTCAACGTTGTGGTGTTGCAAGAAATCCATAGCAACCGTTGCCGTATGAGGGCGGGCATTGTCCTGTTGGAATATTAACCCAGGGCCATGAACTTGCAGAAAAGGGATTGCCACAGGTCGAAGAATCTGATCCCTGTAGCCCACACCAGTTAAGTTGCCCTAAACAATCACCAAAGGAGTTCTTTGGCGTGCTGTTATTCCACCCCAAATCATCACGGAACCACCACCAAAGCGATTCCTCTCCAAGACACAGGCCTGTGCATAACGTTCTCCCACGCGTCTACAGGCACGTTGACGTCCATCACTATGGGAAATGTTCAACCTGGACTCATCTGTCAAAACAAAATTTCTCCACTAAAACAAGGGTCTGCGGACATGATTTCGGCACCACATTCGGCGAGCTTGTCGATGACGCTGTGTCAGGATAGGCCGTATGGCGGGACGTCGTGGTCTGATCCCGTGTTGACGTAAACGTTAAGTTTTTGTCGAACTGTGTTGGGGTGGATACGGCGAAGTCCTGGGATGGTTCGGGCAGTCATCACTGCAGTCTGACACCTGTGGCGAAGATGGGTCACCCTTATCCATTTGTCCTGTCTTGGCGTTGTTACACATGGACGTCCAGAACGTGGCCGATCGATGACGTCATTTGTGTTCTGGTAGCGTCTCACCAGTGCAGAAATGGTGTTCCGGTGGCAGTGGAAATGTGCAACCACTTGTCGTTGAGACATTCCCCTACGGTCCATCACAATAGCCTCATGACGTTGTGCAGACGTGAGCCTTGGCATGCTATGCGTTTCAATAGCCGTTTAATTTTTTGAACGATCGCACGGTCAGGGGTTGAGCTTTCCAAAGTGACAGTATTGTGTGGCATTCATTTGCTCTGTTTCTTTTTCCCGGAATGCACGTTCAACAACGTATTGCACGTCCTCAAGGAAGAACCCACTGACGTCACGGAACATGGCACGTGCATGCATGTTGGATACATGTCACAAATCTCTGAGTTTAAATCCTTATGTATCTACACAGGTTTGATAAATTTAGATTTTAAATTTTTGTATGCACAGTTTCTTTATGTGCCTAGTATACATTTTCTGATAATTTGGGTCTGCATGTATGTTTGTCTTAAAACCACGATGCAGCTCTAGTGTGTTAATGTCCGTCATGTCTTCGATGTGTGGATCACCCCAGTCTCCCCGAAACCTGGTTGTCACCAGTTAATCTTCAAGACAATGACAAATTTCATTTGCGGAACTCATGACACGCCACAAAATGACGAGACGGCTACTCCGTTAATACAAAAACGCAGATAATGACCCTTGTTTTCACAATTTTACATTTAAAATTGTTGTTGTAAAACACGTACCAATGATCGAAGTTATGAAGTTATTTACAGAGAAAGTGTAACGGCAAATATAACATGTTAGATTTGACCACTTTCCAAAAGGAATTGTGTATTCATAATGACACCGTATTTGAACTAATTAACAGCATCCTATAGTATTACATACGGACAGACCCGTGAAGGTCCGTGTTAGAATATTGGCCTTCAGTAACCCATGCTTGTCGTAATAGACGACTAACGGGATCGGGTGGTCAGGCTCGCTGACTTGGTTGACACATGTCATCGGTTCCCAATTGCGCACATCGATAATCATGCTGTTGATCACTGGATTGTCCAGACTCGATTATTTACAGACCGCCGCCATGTCGCTGGAATATTGCTGAGTGCGGCGTAAAACTAAACTCACTCACTCAGTCACGTACTGACCCCTACATTAAGTAAGGACGCACATTCAGAACTTATAGCTCTCTAGAAAACTACCAGCGACGCATTTTAACAAATGAGGTCCAACGTTAACTAAAGACATCCGTGTGTCAACTAGTGGCACCTTCTAGACAAGTAATGTGGCGCTCTATCTTTCGTTATATACCCATGTAAACTTAGGATAGTGATACAGGGTGCAATACGGATGACGTGGTCTAATTCCGTATTCCACCCCAGATTCCGTGTTGAACCCCTGTCGGTTCTACATTGCTACGCTACGATTTGTTTTATTAAGTAAATATATTAATACAAGATAACAGGGTATATAATAAATATAGAACGTCATACTAGTGCATTTGGATGTTATGCATTGAACTCGAAGATGTCGAACTTTCTCTGCCCCATGACATCAATACAAAACATCCAAATACACAAGTATGACGTTGTATATATTTACATTCTCTAACCATGCGACTACTCTAACTGTTGGTGCCTTTACAACACGTGTTAAGTATTATGTATGTAGGACAACTCGAGGACAACATGGAGTTGCTAGGGACGCTAACCTTGGTATATGTCGTGTAGCAAATGGACATGAAGCTAAGTCTAGCGACTCAGTACCAACAACTGCGAAGTTCTTCAGCACAGATATCGCTTGTCTTATCAGAGTGGTCTGCGCTAACTAGGTCACCCACCGTGATGGCGATGTATAGATGTTTGTTGTTTTTGACCATTATGGCACCAGGGATGACAGTTCCTGGAGAAGGTACCGACACGACCAGGCCCAGACAAAGATTGCCAGTGGATACCAGAACGTATGATGTTAGAATGAAGGAGCGCACCCGTCTACGGTAAGTTCGAGTAAGATAACTGTATAGTCACAGTCATGGACAAACTATTATCGATCCTATAAAGTAGTTTAATATGTGAATATGAGATTGATATCATGTTGAGGAATACACAAAATGTGTTGTTTCTACCCTGTTATGGTCATTTACCGCAATACACGAAAACTATTTTCATTTTTCTGTTTATTTTAGTAGAGTGAGTGAGTATGGTTTTACGCCGCTTTTAGCAATATTCCAGCAATATCACGGCTGGGGACACCAGAAATGGGCTTCTACACATTGTACCCATGTGGGGAATCGAACCCGGTCTTCAGCGGACGCTTTAACCATTAGGCTACCCCACTGCCCCTATTTTGGTAGATGTTTCTGTAGATAGTATATACAGTTGTATAATAACAATAACCAAAAGATGAAAAATGTAATAATAAAACTATATATACACATTTTCCCAAGTATAAGGCAAGAGATTGTCCGGCACGACTCTGAATTAACGACGAGCCATAACGTTCTCTGGGGTCGTGGACATCCAACGTCTGAAACCAGACACCCTAACTCTGTCTCTGTTATCGGCAGCTCTCGGCGGTCACCCTCGGGTCATGTTCTGTAATGAAAACCTAGGTATATATATTGTCTGTGCCATCTGTGTCGTTTGTCTTTACATCACAAATATGTGGTTGGTCATTCAGAGATGCTATCACTTGCTGTTCCGGTATTTGGTCCAAGGCTAGAATCAACCCAAAACTGTCTGGATTCTAAAATTGTCCGCATCATCGTGGGTTAACATCAGCAATTAGCCTTTTCATCAACACCCTACAGTACCGAATCCCCCGGGCGATAGTGCTGAATCCCCTGACAAAATCCAATAGTGCTGAATCCCCTGACAAAATCCAATAGTGCTGAATCCCCTGACAAAATCCAATAGTGCTGAATCCACTGGGCGAATATAGTACTGGTCCCCCGACAGTAATCTACAGCGCAGAATCCACTTTACGGAATCCTACAGCGCAGAATCCACTTCTACGGAATCCTTACAGTGTTGAATCCACTTTACGGAACTTACAGTGCTGAATCCACTTACGGAATCCTTACAGTGTTGAATCCACTTTACGGAATCCTACAGTGCTGAATCCACTTCTACGGAACCTAGCAGCGCTGAATCCCCTGACAAAATCTTATATCGCAGAATCCTCCTGACAGTACCCTACAGTCTAGTTGATAACTATGGAATACCGTAAGGACATTCTCGCGATCTCGCATTCTCGAGAACGCGATTTTTGCCAATCTCGCGTTCCTCGCGATCTCGCATTCTCGCACTTTTGGCATTTTAGCTTGTTTCCAAAGGTCGAGATCGCGAGAATGCGAGATCGCGAGAATGTCCCTTTACAGTATTCCATACATAACACTACACAATACGCCAGGTTCTGATGCACATTTCGAAAGTCTTTGTTTCCGATTCGCCAATACTCCATTAGATATCATACTTATTATGAATTACAATGATTGAAAGCCCATATGCTTCAACAGATGTAATCAATACAATCGAGTACAGTTACAGATTGTATTCAACTGTTGTATTAGTTGTATCGTGACCCACCATCCTGCTCCCTGGCGCCTGATTGCACCTGTACAATGACTACCTGACAAAACCCCTGGCGCCACCTCCAAGCCTGTCATGTACGACGACTACGGTGTACCATGTTCACCTACTGCCATATGTCTGTTGCAGGCTGACGTCCATCTGTGCTCCAGCTACACCACCCATCCATGGCTTCTTGGGGAGGCTGAATACATAGGTCAGCTCTGTATAGAGGGACTTGAGTCACATATTACAGATGTAGATATGAGATGTTCTGTAACGGGATAGCGTAATGATTACTGTGATCATCTGTCAATGTGATGATGTGAGTTCGAGTCTTGTTTCCCCACGGTTACATGTCATGTGTTCACCAACTGCAAGCCTGTTCTCGTGTGTTTCAGTGAAGTTTGAGGTTCTGGCCAAAAACAGCTCAGCTCATCACATGTCATTGTACGGCTGCGGGGGAGAGCCAGCCAGGAACGCTGATGTATGGTATGTTGCCATGACGACGGGGATTGAATGCACGTACCATGAACAGTTGGGGTGTTTAAGTTATGCAAGTTGCTGCTGTGTCGGTATGACCTACGTGTGTTGTGTAAGTTGCTGTTGTGTCGGGATGACCTACGTGTGTTGTGTAAGTTGCTGTTGTGTCGGGATGACCTACCTATGTTGTGTAAGTTGCTGTTGTGCCTGTATGACCTACCTGTGTTGTGTAAGTTGCTGCTGTGTCTATGACCTACCTGTGTTGTGTAAGTTGCTGCTGTGCCTGTATGACCTACCTGTGTTGTGTAAGTTGCTGTTGTGCCTGTATGACCTACCCGTGTTGTGTAAGTTGCTGTTGTGCCTGTATGACCTACCTGTGTTGTGTAAGTTGCTGCTGTGTCTGTATGACCTACCTGTGTTGTGTAAGTTGCTGTTGTGTCGGTATGACCTACCTGTGTTGTGTAAGTTGCTGCTGTGTCTGTATGACCCATCCGTGTTGTGTAAGTTGCTGTTGTGTCGGGTGTATGACCTACCTGTGTTGTGTAAGTTGCTGTTGTGTCCGTGTATGACCTACCTGTGTTGTGTAAGTTGCTGCTGTGTCTGTATGACCTATCTGTGTTGTGTAAGTTGCTGATGTGTCGGTATGACCTACCCGTGTTGTGTAAGTTGCTGCTGTGTCTGTATGACCCACCTGTGTTGTGTAAGTTGCTGCTGTGTCGGTATGACCTTACCTGTGTTGTGTAAGTTGCTGTTGTGTCTGTATGACCTACCTGTGTTGTGTAAGTTGCTGCTGCTGTTGTGTCTGTATGACCCATCTGTGTTGTGTAAGTTGCTGTTGTGTCTGTATGACCTACCTGTGTTGTGTAAGCTTGCCGCTGTGTCGGTATGGCCTATCTGTGTTGTGTAAGTTGCTGCTGTGTCTGTATGACCTATCTGTGTTGTGTAAGTTGCTGCTGTGTCGGTATGACCTACCTGTGTTGTGTAAGTTGCTGCTGTGTCTGTATGACCTATCTGTGTTGTGTAAGTTGCTGCTGTGTCTGTATGACCTACCTGTGTTGTGTAAGTTGCTGTTGTGTCGGTATGACCTACCTGTGTTGTGTAAGTTGCTGCTGTGTCGGTATGACCTACCTGTGTTGTGTAAGTTGCTGTTGTGCCTGTATGACCTACCCTGTGTTGTGTGTAAGCTGTTGCTGTGCCTGTATGACCTACCCGTGTTGTGTAAGTTGCTGCTGTGCCTGTATGACCTACCCTGTGTTGTGTAAGTTGCTGTTGTGCCTGTATGACCTACCTGTGTTGTGTAAGTTGCTGTTGTGCCTGTATGACCTACCTGTGTTGTGTAAGTTGCTGTTGTGCCTGTATGACCTACCTGTGTTGTGTAAGTTGCTGCTGTGTCTGTATGACCTATCTGTGTTGTGTAAGTTGCTGTTGTGTCGGTATGACCTACCTGTGTTGCAGGAAGTGTCCTGGTGTCTGTCAGCAGGGCGTATCAGAAGTGTTCCTGTTTACCTGGGCTCACGGTGCCCCATCCACATCTCTGCCAGACGGTACCTAACTACGTCCACTCTCTATACACCACATACATTTGACTGGCCAATATTTAGCATCAATTCATTTCTTCAAACTAAATAACTCAATATTCAATTTTCCAGATAATGTAACGAATTACTTCTAGAACCTACACCCAAGAATCCCTACTACTGTATCCATCTTGTCACAATTATATACTCAGCGTGTTAAAGTAACATAAACACGTGTTTTTTTTACAGACGTTGGTTTTAAAGTCGGGAGAGGAACCGGGATCCAAACACTCGTGTTGCAGACTCACTACCCGCATTCCTTTAACGGTAGGCCTTGACACTTGTGTTGCAGACTCACTATCCGTATTCCTTTAACGGTAGGCCTTGTCACCTGTGTTGTAGACTCACTACCCGTATTCCTTTAACGGTAGGCCTTGTCACTTGTGTTGTAGACTCACTACCCGCATTCCTTTAACGGTAGGCCTTGTCACCTGTGTTGTAGACTCACTGCCCGCATTCCTTTATTGTAGGCCTTGTCACTTGTGTTGTAGACTCACCACCCGCATTCCTTTAACGGTAGGCCTTGTCACTTGTGTTGTAGACTCACTACCCGCATTCCTTTAACGGTAGGCCTTGTCACCTGTGTTGTAGACTCACTGCCCGCATTCCTTTAACGGTAGGCCTTGTCACCTGTGTTGTTGACTCACTACCCGCATTCCTTTAACGGTAGGCCTTGTCACTTGTGTTGTAGACTCACCACCCGCATTCCTTTAACGGTAGGCCTTGTCACCTGTGTTGTAGAATCACTACCCGCATTCCTTTATTGTAGGCCTTGTCACCTGTGTTGTAGACTCACTACCCGCATTCCTTTATTGTAGGCCTTGTTCTAAAACACCTTTAATGAACAGGCAACTAAGACATCATATCATGTATTATTCTTCTGAAAGTGACTGGAATACTGAAACAGAGCGTGATTGGCTGCTTCAAACATAATATTGGGACCAAAATTAGCGATGTTTCAAACATCCACTGGAACCGGGATTAACGATGTTTAAAACTGGGACCGGGAAGTGTTGGACATATGGATGGAGACGAGAACGGGATTATGTTTACCGGTTTTATACTCTGTGTGTATGACTAGGTGCGTGTCATTTGACAGTCGCATGTTTGTTTCCGGTAATTCAAGTCACAATGTGGCTGAAATATTGCCGAAGTGGCCTTTCCTCAACAAGCGCACATATATACTCCTGTCCATCTAGCAGATTACGACAGTATAGTTCCTTCCCAGATACTTAAAGTGTAACCTGATTTCAGAATCTGCACCGACAGACTTCTCCGGAATCCGCATCTATGTAACATCAGAACGGTAAGGCCTCGTCAGCCGTCGTTGTGTCTGTCAAGTAAAGTTGTAAACAGAAGAATATTTGTCTGCTATGAATATATAGGCTTATATTTAGGGCTGTGCAATATTACCGGTAAACTTATACATACCGGTGCAGTATGTCGCGATACGATTATCGCGATATGGTTCAGATTCTGCATTATATTGAATCATCCATAGTTAGCTCCCTTTGAATTATCTGCCTTTGATTTCCATAGCAACAGAATGTGCCCTAAAAGTGCCAAATATTCTTTGTTTCTTTCTCTGTTTCATGTAACATTGTACAAGTGGAAATGTCTTTATACGTGGCTCCAAAAGTGCAAAATATTCTACCAAATGCTTTAAGTTTTGGGGTTTGAATGGTTTCATATGTGAAGTTTCGGAGGAATTAAGGGACCGTTCATAATTTATGGCTAGTGGGATGATGATGATTGTTATGAAGAAGCATGTACAATGTGAATTACCCCCTAAAATTTATGTACAAAGTAAGTGACCCCCTGCATATCATGCACAAAATCAATGACCCCCCTCCCTTCCCACAAGTTTTAAGCATAATTTTAAATATTTAAATGTACAAAATTGCTTACCCCCCTAGTGCATGTGTACAAAATTGATGACCCACCCTACATCCTCAGAACAAAATGGGTGAAACCCCCCCCCTTAAAATCATCACTCACTCACTCACACACACACACACACACACACACACACCCTAGCCATAAATTGTGAATGGTCCCTAAGTGGACACAAATGGACCAATCTGTTAAGAAATACAAGAGTAATGGATATCAACTTCTTGCTGTGAATAACACAACGTTTTGGAGTGGACATTTCTCAATTCACAGTATGTTGTTATTTTTGTTTTGTTTCATAATGGGACATATGTTATCAATTTACGATAAAGGCCAAAGTCTTATACATTTTGAAGGACTGTATAATGGCATTCTAGTCACGGATCTTAGTTATGGGAGGTCACATGAGTTAAGCTCAAGTAGTTCACCTAAATCATGTTTTGTCTATGTTAACACATGTTTATATTGAGTTGAATCTGAATGAATCACTGACATACAGTGACAATAATACATACTGCATTGAAGTGCACTCTGTTGAAGCAAACAACACTGACCATGAAAATCATGTTATACTATTACCTTTATCATTATGTTCGCAAAACTCTGTTGCAATATAGTTACTTCAATGAAAAATTCCACATTAAGGCTCTATATCATTTATCTGTACACCACTGGCATACATCAATACACAATGGGAACAGGGAGCCTGAAAGTATGGCGTAATGACAACTCAAAAGATGATGTCGTACACAGAGAGCTATTATGAATTTATTATGTACGCACTTGGACAGAAACCTTCCAGTCAATATATTACAATATGTATTGCAATATCTCTTGAGTTATTGCAATATATCGCAATATGAGAATCAGGGGCAATATCCAGCCCTACTTATATTCATCATTATCATTATTGTTATAATTTAAATATTAATTATATTTACAACTTGAGTCATTGTGTTTATTACGTGTCATCAACAACATATCAACTACATCATCAAATGCAAATGCGTGACAAGACTTCTTTATGGAATATATTAAAATTATTTTAATCTGTAAATCACAATAATTATAATTTCCTAACTTGGTGGAATTGGTGTATATGTTCCAGAGGTATTCAGTTGGTATCCAGTGACATCTACGGATGTGATCAAACGACTCATTACTCATGATTCATTACGACTCTGTATGTATCTTTGCAGACAGACATACGCAGCCGGGGTATATTTACTGGAGAGTATACGGTTTACCATACCGCCGAATACAGCCAGTAAGTATGTAGGGTCACCTAGTGCTAGATGGTGATAATGTCAGTTGGTAGTTCCAATATATGAACGGTTCCATTTATGTGAAAGCGCAACGCATTGTCTGTTTTGCAACATATCTCCTGCATCATAAAGCCACAAGCTTATCCACAAGCTTATCGAAAGACCATAGTGTCCCCACGGTTCAAGTCGTGTCATTAGATGACCTCGACGACGGATGACATTGTTCATGCTGTCAATCACAGTCGGCGAGATAACCAGGAAAGCTATGTGACGTTTATACATACAATAATCATGGCGTTTGTTGCTTAACGCCGTAACTTCGGTGGTGTCGGTAAACGACACGCTAGCAACCAAGACTCCATGACGTGCACCTCGGTGGTGTTGAAAAATCTGGTTAATGCTGTACTTCTTCTCCTCCACAGATGCGCATGTCGATGTGAGCTGTACCTACCACGAACCACACCCGATGTACCCTTTCGCCTACAGAACTCACTCTCACGGTCTAGGTAGGCTGAAGATGAACTAGGTGGCGTCTAATGTCCTTAATCTTCTGTCTACTGTGATATAAGGTTAAATAATGGTCATAGTAGTCACTGACATTAGGAGTAATATCAGCCGCAGTAATACTTATTGACATTGTACATCTAGTAATATCACCTGTAGTAATAGCAGTCACTGACAGTAGTAGTAATATCAGCTACAGTAATACTTACTGACATTGTACATCTAGTAATATCACCTGTAGTAAAATCAGTCACTGACATTAGTAGTAATATCAGCCGCAGTAATACCTACTGACATTGTACATTGTACATCTAGTAATATCACCTGTAGTAATAGCAGTCACTGACAGTAGTAGTAATATCAGCTACAGTAATACTTACTGACATTGTACATCTAGTAATATCACCTGTAGTAAAATCAGTCACTGACATAAGTAGTAATATCAGTCGCAGTAATGCTCTTACTTGACATTGTACATCTAGTAATATCACCTGTAGTAATAGTAGTAATATCAGCTACTGTAATACTTACTGACATTGTACATCTAGTAATATCACCTGTAGTAATAGTAGTAATATCAGCTACTGTAATACTTATTGACATTGTACATCTAGTAATATCACCTGTAGTAATAGTAGTAATATCAGCGGCAGTAATACTTACTGACATTGTACATCTAGTAATATCACCTGTAGTAATAGTAGTCACTGACATTAGTAGTAATATTAGCCGCAGTAATACTTATTGACATTGTACATCTAGTAATATCACCTGTAGTAATAGTAGTAATATCAGCTACTGTAATACTTACTGACATTGTACATCTAGTAATATCACCTGTAGTAATAGTAGTAATATCAGCTACTGTAATACTTATTGACATTGTACATCTAGTAATATCACCTGTAGTAATAGTAGTAATATCAGCGGCAGTAATACTTACTGACATTGTACATCTAGTAATATCACCTGTAGTAATAGCAGTCACTGACATAAGTAGTAATATCAGCTACAGTAATAATTACTGATACTGTACATCTATTTATGTAGGGAAGGTGATCACTGGCTACCTGTTCAACCACACGTGGCATGAGATCGGCAAGGGCAACTCATTAGGGCCTCAGGTAGGACGTCCTACCGTCATGGTGATGCTGCCATCTGGGGATGGTCGGGTATATTCAGGGTGGTAGTGTGTTCAGTGAGTCAATTTTTCTCGACAGTATTACTTGTGTTCTGTAATAGTCAGGACTGTTGATCTGTTTAATAACTTTTCGTTTTTTCTTTTCAGACATTTTATCCTGTCAGTGGCAGTTATATTGTAAAGTCTGGCGACGAACTGGTAAAATACCACGTTTTAATACATTGGCATAAAGTTGATACAACTTAGTAATACAGTGTCATACAATTTCCGGGAAGCTATTTTTCTCGACATGCTGTAAGCAAGATTTTCATTAAAGAAGTAAACGAGACAGTTTCATGTAATCTGCTTCGTCATATCAAATCAATGATACAAATGACAATCGCCTTTGTTTACAATGCTCACGTGGTTGATGTACCCAACAGGTTGCCCGATGTACCTACGACTCCCGAGGTCGCGACACAGTTACCAACACCGGGTAAGTGTGAGCGTCGTCATCCGCCAGTGAATGAGTTGCCCATACCCCAGACATGCCACAATATCCATATCCGAGCACCTGCTCATTATACCAGACGCCTCTCTAGGAACTAGGTACCCAGTACCAGGTACTTTGTAAAATGTGGAACGGATAGTTTGACGGATATGGCTCCTGCATGTTGTGGCTCTTTGCTGTTAACTATATGGTGATTGAGGCAAACTCAATTGTTAACATTTTGCCGTTAAATAGCTTTGATAGCGCTGAGTGCGGCATTTTACATCATTCTTTCAGCTACTGACACCTGATGCTTGTGGTGGCCTTCCCAAAAGCACCGGGGTAGGAAAGGCCATGTCTGGGACAATGGTCCGATCAGCCTTGGTTTGGTACTGATGACACCTCCGCTGTTGTCCTGGTCCATGATACCGTATGATCTCTCATCTATGTCTTTGTGTGTGTTGAAGACGTAAAGAATCGGAGGAGATGTGCAAGTTCTACATGATGTACTACACCAACCCAGCGTGGACATATCTCCGGGGCACTGTATGACGAACCAGCATCCTGAACGTCTACAGACCCCTCCCTGGCCACGTCCCTCTGTCCCCAGCACCGACAGTGGACGACCTGACACACAAGGACAGTTACCATCAGCAGCCCTCCACGGAAGCTGGGACAGAGGAGAGCACAGTAAAGACGGGTAGTTGTCGCACGTACACTCAAATAACAATCTCTATGGTTGAGGCTCCAGGGCACGTGCTAACTTTCTAAAGACACGATTGTTTTGTATCGGGTGGTTCATTTCGCGAACTAAGCTGACGGTTCTCCGATAGCTTGATAACCGGTTTCAATCATGTGTTTGTGTGGTCTATATTCCTGTACAGTCACCGCACCCTCGGACAACTGGAGCTCTGCTAACTGCTGCCTCTACTCAGCAACAAACAAACTGAATATTGAAGACACTCTTGTGTCCAGCTGAGTACAGGAAAGCGCATAGCCCTTCCCATGGGGTATTACTGGATCATACTGACCTGAGGGTGTTTACATACGTTCAGTTCAGTTAATTGTACATTACTTGGTCATTCACATATGTAATTTCTAAATGTGGCGCGTATTTCTTTCTGTGGAAGCAAAGGCATGACAGATAAACCTGACATGAACTAATCCATCAAAGACCAAGAATTGCAAGACTTACGAAGACATTTGAATAGTCCATGTTTTAATCTTCCTAATATCTTGTATATTAAATATTTCTCATTTTCAAACAAATATTCAGTGGAAGCATAATGTTAAAGAAATGGGTTGGTCAAATACCTACTGACATCTTGACATCTGGCATCAACCTTGAAACAAACTTATGAGCGAGTCTTTTTCCACGATGAAAACACACGGTAACGTATCCCCAAATCTAGCTTGATGCAACTGTGGGACAAGTACAAGGCTGAGAAACTGTCTGACATCAGATTCCAACGTATGTTTGGGTGTGAGTTATATACTGCTGTATCGACAGTAACACTGTGTCTTTACAACGTAATAGATCCTGAATGTAATCAAACCACATATTTAACATATAAACGTTGCACAATCTCTTTTATACAATGGGGGTTGAGGTAATGAACTACACACAGGATTGAATGCATTTAGCTTCTGCCTTCACACATATGTTACGTTTGTGTAAGATATGTTAGGGTATTCGCTGGTTACGGAGCAGCTGCATTTATGTCGCTATTGAGTTATAACCTGAATTGTTACAACGATATCACTGCTAAGAGCATAATGTAAACGGCCTCTTTATTCCCTTTCTTAGTCAGAGGTAATTGTAGTGTACAGTGGCATATTTAACTTGTGAGGTACAGTAGACTCCTACATGTGTCAAGACACTAACTCTGCGCAGAACGGCTGGAATCACGTAGGTCCTCTGGTTCCCACGGTGTACTGGACCACCTCCGTGGTGTAGTGGTTAGAGCGTCCGCCCGGAGAGCGGAAGGTCGCGGGTTCGATCCCCGACCGCATCACACCAAAAGACGTTAAAATATGGTACTTGTTGGTTCCTGCCTGGCGCTCGGCATTAATGGGTACAACAAGGAATGGTCGGCTCGGAGTATAATGTGTCTGAGTGGGGTATTCATGCTTCACTGCGGCATGGTATCTTAGTGGGCTAGCACTATTAAACCAGCTTAAGTCTGGGCTAGTAGAAGATGCCACACATACACATACACACGCATGCACGTCGTCATATGAGCGAAATATTCTCAAGCACGACGTTAAACCCAATTTCACCTCACCTCACCTCACTGAGTACTGACGAGTACTCGAAATCCAGACTTGTAGCGCCAACATGCGCGTGTTCAATGATTGTGCTAAAACAGATGCTGACATTGAGTTTGGTTTCATTCCAGTAAGGGGCGGTGGGCTAGTCTAGTGGTTAAAGCGTTGGCTCGTCACGCCGAAGACCCGGTTTCGATTCCACACATGGGTGTAATGCGTGAAGCCCATTTCTGGTGGCCCCGACGTGATATTGCTGGAATATTGCTAAAAGCGGCGTAAAAGTTAACTCACCACTCACTCATTCCAGTAACCCCAGCCGTTCCTCCTCCTCCCTTTGGTGGTTGATGCTTCCTGGCCAGCACACAATCTGACCTTTGGGCAAAGTAGTGGGCGTGGCCACAGACAGGACGGCAACGTGTACATCTTCCACAGGGATCAAGGACGTGGACAGCTGGGTGAGTCAATCAATATGCCATGACTCGTGTCAGGTTTGCGCTGATGTGAATATTTTGAAAATATCCACGGAGACTTGGTCAACAGCAACCATGACTTGTCGGAACAGGACTAACGGGAATCGTATTCGCATGTCGCAGATAAATTAGATGGCTAAAATCACTGGATTATCTGGTCCTTTCTTGATTAGTTACACCACTCTACGACATTCTGTCATGAAAATAAGCATAAGGCTTGCATACCTATTATTGCAGAACATTTGACAAAGACAACAGAATGGTGTCCCCAACGCCAATACCCGAGGACGTCATCTTGGTTGTCAACCGACAAGGGAAGCTGATGAGAAAGTTCGGCAGAAACCAGTGAGTACCGTCCATGTCTGAAGCGCATATACTATGTGTCATACCAGGGCCCTCCTTCCTCCTCGGGGAACACGTGGTTGACTTTCGTTACACTTTCCCAACACTGTAGGTAGTGAGGGAACCAGTTTGAATCCAGATCGAGTACATGGATTTAATACAAACATGCAACACACATCTATAATGGTATGTAGCAAGGCGTTAAAGGGTTTGTACTTTCTCCTGTGCCATGGCATACTCTGAATACGTTGTTATTTTGTCAGGTTCTACCTGCCTCACGGTATCGAGGTGGACTCCCGGGAAACATCTGGGTCACCGACACAGGACTGCACCAGGTACGCCCTTCTCTCAACTTACGTTGTTACCGTAGTGTCTCTCCTGAAGCTTCTCCCTCACTGGAACTGTCGCCAGTGCCGTGGTCTACTGGTCATATCACGCCATTAAGTGTGATTCAGATATTCATAGGTGACAATGCAGGTTTTGAGGTTTTCATTACCTATTGTGTATGATACCTTGTGTAGTATAATTTACAACTTGATATCAGAAGCAAGATGCTTTTCTGTCTTTAGTGGGCTTTGAAGCGTCTTTAAACAGGTGTCCTTATTGTGGATGTCAGCGTGACCTGAGCCCGCTCTAGCTGTAACTTGCGCTGTACACGCCCCCTGAATGATTTCAGTGTGGTCTGACCCCCAGGTGATGAGGATACCCCCGGGTGGCACGCTGCCCGACATGGTGCTGGGGGAGCGGCTGGTGCCGGGTAACGACACGGGACACTTCTGTCAGCCTGCGGACGTCGCTGTTCTGGAGTCCGGGGACTTCTACGTGGCTGACGGGTCAGTGACATAGTGACCACGGGAAACGCGCATGCGTAAATTCTCTGTTATCGAGGAACGTGAACACACCACGCCCCGCATCGGTTGTTTACATAAATTATGTAAATTACGTAAATATAATCGGCGCTCTAGTAAAAGTGATATATTTCAGTAGAATGTCACGATAAAACGTAGGTATATAAAGTATTCATCTGGAACATTTTGAAACTATATAATTAACCTATCTTGCACGTATCAAAACTTACTTTGTCAAGAGTAATCCTGCGACAGCTATAAAGTCATCTGCATATTTACCGTCCTAAAACTAGAACAGGAAGTGACGTATTGAGCAAAGCTCACATTGCACACGACAGAAAATTGTATGGCACATTTTACTGCTAAAAATTATTTCGTTACGTTATTGTTGCTTTGTAACTTAATGACTTTGTCGTTTAAAGAAACATTACTAATCCTAATACAATTCCTGAATATTATTCTAATATTTAAACTATCAAGATTCGTTATTTGTGGAAAGTAAATGTTTGACAGTGTCATATCCTTGTGCAGCGTGCCGTAGTTAGAAAATAGCAATACCTCGGTAATAGAGAGTTGCGTCAATTTCCGGGTCAAACGAGGAAATCGGGAATGCCGCGTTGTATTGAACGGGTAGCGACTATGTGCCATATTATTTGTGACAGACATGAAGATTAAACATCAGTCAACTGAAAATATATTTAAAATACCTAATGTCAGTTGGCGTTCATTAACTACCGCGATAACAAAGGGCTTCGCGGTATATACTTATATTTTATTTTTAAAAGAACCGACCCGTGAAGATCCGGGTAGAATAGGTCTTCAGCAACCCATGCTTGCTACAGAAGGTGACTATGCGTGTCGGAAGAGGCGGATCGGGTAGTCAAGCTCGCTGACTTGGTCGACACATGTCATCGGTTCCCAATTGCGCAGATTGATGTTCATGCTGTTGATCACTGGGTTGTCTGATCCAGACTCGATTATTTACAGACCGCCGCCATATAGCTGGAATATTGCTGAGTGCGGCGTTAAACTAAACTCACTCTCCCACTCACTCACTCACCTACACCCTTGCCCTACACGTAAACATGAAGCGTACACTGTAAAGGTGTACATGTATCATCGGGATGTGTCCCAGATTTCACAGATTGATCAGCCTCTCACAAGATAAAACATCTTCAATGCCTGTACTGTTCGCCGTGAAGGTATATGCTGAAACACATTTCCGGTTGAACCAATGGTAACCAATGCGAAAACAGGAACTGTTTCTAAGAGATCAACTTTGATTGTTCCAGGTTTTGTAATGGCCGTATTGTGAAGTATTCCAGCAATGGCACCTTCATGACCCAGTAGCCGTCCGGCCGACATCAACGATGAGGGAAAGTGTTGCTGTGAGTTCATTATAGACACAGACAGACAGGTAGACCGACAGATGGGCAGACAGACAGACAGATGGATATTAGTAATAATACACAAGCCGTCACCAACATGACAATGTCGATTTGATCTGAGGAGGTTGCCTCCTTAGTCAAACACGGATCGCGATTGTTGATTGCAATGTTGATTTACTTACTTTCATCAGTATTGTATCTGTGCTGGTGTTTCACGAGAGCGTCATCTGTGTAGAAGAGTCACAAGAGCGTCATCTGTGTAGGAGTGTCACGAAAGTGTCATGTGTGGAGGAGTGTCACGAAAGTGTCATCTGTGTAGGAGCGTCACGAAAGTGTCATCTCTGTAGGAGCGTCACGAAAGTGTCATGTGTGTAGGAGTGTCACGAAAGCGTCATGTGTGGAGGAGAGTCACGAAAGTGTCATGTGTGTAGGAGTGTCACGAAAGCGTCATGTGTGTAGGAGCGTCACGAAAGTGTCATCTGTGTAGGAGTGTCACGAAAGTGTCATGTGTGGAGGAGCGTCACGAAAGTGTCATGTGTGGAGGAGCGTCACGAAAGTGTCATGTGTGGAGGAGGGTCACGAAAGTGACATCTGTGTAGGAGTGTCACGAAAGTGTCATGTGTGGAGGAGCGTCACGAAAGTGTCATCTTTGTAGGAGCGTCACGAAAGTGTCATCTTTGTAGGAGCGTCACGAAAGTGTCATGTGTGTAGGAGTGTCACGAAAGTGTCATGTGTGTAGGAGTGTCACGAAAGCGTCATGTGTGGAGGAGCGTCACGAAAGTGTCATGTGTGTAGGAGCGTCACGAAAGTGTCATCTGTGTAGGAGCGTCACGAAAGTGTCATGTGTGTAGGAGGGTCACGAAAGTGTCATGTGTGGAGGAGAGTCACGAAAGTGCCACCTGTGTAGGAGTGTCACGAAAGTGTCATCTGTGTAGGAGTGTCACGAAAGTGTCATCTGTGTAGGAGCGTCACGAAAGTGGTATCTGTGTAGGAGCGTCACGAAAGTGCCACCTGTGTAGGAGTGTCACGAAAGTGCCATCTGTGAAGGAGTGGCACGAAAGTGTCATCTGTGTAGGAGCGTCACGAAAGTGCCACCTGTGTATGAGTGTCACGACAGTGTCATCTGTGTAAGATGTTCCTCACACAGTTTTCGTCATAGCCGTGACACAATTGAGATCGGATGAACATTCCTCCCAGTAACTCCGAGCTGTTTGACTGTCTTTTCAAAATCTACATAAACATCTATGATAGAAAGATCGATAAAACAGTTGAGGCAATGTTATATTGGTGTCGTCAGGGCCACTTCACAAGCGAGTATAACGCAATGATAAGTCTCTTTTGTGGGATGACAGTCTTGGCTCTTTTGTCTCATCGGACTCAGTAACATATGCACGTAGGTCACTGTCAATGTTTGATGGGAATATAACAGTATTGTTGACCTGTTGTAGGTGACAAAGAGTCGCCGGGAATATTCGACATCGTGCCGAGCATCACCGTGGCCGAGGACAGGGGGCTGGTCTGTGCGGCTGACTGTATGCACGGCCGAATACAGTGCTTTCATCTGGACGGGGGGTTTCGCTTCATCGTCAGCAGTAAACAGATGGGGCCGTATGTGCTGGCCACGGAATACTGTCCTCTCCATGGTGGGCTTTATCGGAACTGTCCCCTAAACCCATGTTGACTCAGATGTAACTGCCTAACCAGTTTTACAACGATTATCAATATGAATATTAGGGCTAACTGCCAAGACGGTATTTGGGATGGTCTTGGTTAGAATCGTTTCATTAAGAATTTAAGAGATTAAGGATTTAGTTGTAAAGTCAGTAAGGACCAGGATGTGAAATAGTTTTTCTGTTGCCAGTATCGCCAAGATAGGCATGAATGTTACGGAAGTGATTAACGTCTAGGACAGAGTCGCGTGTAATGCACGCGGACATTAAACCGGCCTCAACCGAAGGTGCAGGCAACTTACAAAGTATGACTGATATTTAGAGATTGTCATCTAAGAATCTTATAAATTAAGGGCTAGGTCTAAGAGCTTCAGTTAGAACTATCAATAATACTGTGTTAACCGTTGTAGGGGGAATCCTGTTTGTCGTGAATGGGCATGACTCACGTAAGAAAGCGCCGGCAGTCTACGGCGTCACCGTTGCCATAGATACAGGAGAGGTGGTGCAGCAGTGGGATACCCTTGATGTAAGCAGCAACCATTCCCCCACCCCGCTACCTCATCCATCCCCATCCCCATTGACAGTAGACTGTATGGAACTCGATGTTACAGTTGACGCCATGTTGTTACATACTACAGAGGGTCTTCAGAGCCCCCACGATGTCACAGTGACGCCATGTTGTTACATACTACAGAGGGTCTGCAGAGCCTCAACGATGTCACAGTGACGCCATGTTGTTACATACTACACAGGGTCTGCAGAGCCTCAACGATGTCACAGTGACGCCATGTTGTTTCATGTTACACAGGGTCCTCAGAGCCCCCACGATGTGACGGTTGACTCCACGGATCACGACCTGTATGTGGGAGAACTTAGCCCGGGTAAAGTGTGGCGTCTCAGTATGAATAATCGTGAAGAATCAGGTACCCTCATTTTCACCTTTTTTCCATTAGATCATTCAGATTGTATTTACGTTGACAACATTCCAGTTAACTCTGTATTTTCTCATAACGCTCATATCAACAGAACACTACATGCGTTTACCATATTCTAACAAGTTGTTTTTCATCAAACAGTTGCAAAGGGGAATCACGTGACCCTAATCGTGGTGGCTGTGTTGATCACGTTGCCGGTTGTCTGTGTCGTCATTGGCCTCGCCATCAGCAGTTTCATTGATTCAGGTAGGACGCTGACATATTGCAAACATAGACTACCCATTGGTGACTGTTCTTTGACAGAGAAAGTTATTTAAATCATCTGCTCTATCTGAAAAATGATCGGCATCGCCACGTAAATACTCTAGTTGTTTAATATCAAACACTATCACGTCAAACACAATTAGGTGTCGCATTACACATTAAGACCATTTAAACCACTAGGGAAAGCTATGTCCATTGTTCTTGGAAGCGTGTTATTAGCATAACTGAATAACTGCCCTAGGGCAATTATTTCCATTTAAAAACAATAAAATTGTACTCATTTTGATAATGTCCATCATGCCTAATACATTACACGCGTATTAAATAAGTATGCCATCGTGTGAAAATACTCAATGCCATTTAGAAAATGGTCAAATGTAACATATGTTATAAATTGGATTACACTTTCTTTGTAAAGTACAGTTCTCGGCACCTAATCGCCAGCTGGTACCTGACTCTGAGGGTGTGGGTTCGAATCCCGGATGGGACTCAACCCAACAAAAGTACCAGAATCTGTACTTTACAAAGACAGTGTAATCCCAAATATAACATATGTTACATTTGACCACTTTCTAAATGGCATTGTGTATTTTCATAGCTTTCGGCCGTGGGAGCCGTGCCAATTAACACTTATCAGAGGGATACACAAAGTCCGCAGTCTAGACTACCAGTTTTCCGACATCCTTTTTGTGGAAGCCGCGGTGGCTGAGCGGTCTAGGCGTCTGACTTTGTGTGCTGGGTGTGGGTTCGAATCCCGGATGGGACTCAACCCAACAAAAGTACTAGAATCTGTACTTTACAAAGAAAGTGTAATCCCAAATATAACATATGTTATACCATCGTGGTGTAAGCCGTTTAATCACCCTCACTACGGTAGTTATTTAAATACCTATCTTGTAAGGGTGATTAACCTATACATACCTGCACTGAGGCTTGACTCAATACTCACCCAGTATGTTGGAACCGTGCGCTACTTTACTTTCAAATAGCCGATTCACCAATACTCTAACATTCCATGCTTCTGCTGACAACGCCCAGTGCATATCGACTAAATTGTGAAAAAAATGTTTCCAGCAACCCGTGCTTGTCGTGAGAGGCGAATGGCGGGATATGGTGGTCAGATGGATTGATCTGGATCGTGCCTGTCATCGTATCCCAGCTGACAAGATGTTCTTGATATCAGTCACTGGATTGTCTTGATTGTTTACGTTGACAATAATGTCTTCACTGAAATATATCGATCGTTCATATCTAAGTTCAGTATTCAGTTTGCTATTTCCAGTCTTCTTTCGCCGAGTCATTTTGTCTTGTTTTTCTATCTTCAGGGTATTTGTCCTGTTCGAGGTGCAGGAAGTCTTTCAGTGTTGTTGGCAAGTCTCACCGGGGGTTCACGCTGTTGGCCAGCGAAGATGATGAGTTCTGTTCATGTGACGAATGACGGTGTTACTTTGAAATGAACACACGATAACCCACAATGCATGTTGACAGTTTATTATATTTATCAGAATTATTTCTGAACGTTTCACGTAGGGTCAGTCTGCCTGCCACGACTGTACTTGGCATGTGCTACTCGTGTATTGGCTCCACCCAGATTACACTTCCCAGACTGAACATTGCTCTGGGACCTTTTCTTTTGTTTGACGAATTTGCCGAGGAAAGGCACCAACTGAAACATAAATGACCGATCGTACATTAGATGGACACATAATTGCTGATATATGCCGATCTGACAGAACAAGTGTGCTTGCTATCAGTAATAGTCCAGACACCCATGGCGAGGAACACTAAAAGGGAGATTCTTAGGTTAGAAGAAACTGACCTGGACTTTCACATTATACTCGCGGCTACCCCAGAGCTCTGGCAGACTGAAAGTCTTCAGGTACTAAACAACCGACACTCTTTAATGTGTATGTCATGTGCAGAACATGTAATGTAGACTATAAAGTCACTCTGAAGTCCCGGGTACAATTTCAAACATTTGTACAGTGTGTGAAACATATCCCTGAATATCATTCGTCGTAATATCGCTGGAATATTGCCAAAATCTTAATACGGCTTTGGCTACTGTCGTTACTTTCGACGAACTGGTCATATTGTAATAGTGAGTGAGTCTAGTTTCAGCAATATTCCAGCTATATGGCGGTGGTCTTTAAATAATCGGATCTGGACCAGACAATCCAGTGATCAACAGCATGAACATCGATCTACGCAATTGGGAACCAATGACATGTGTCAACCAAGTCAGCGAGCCTGACCACTCGATCCCGTTAGTCGCCTCTTACGACAAGAATGGGTTACTGGAGATCAATTCTAACCCGGATCTTCACGGGTTCATATTGTAATACATACATACGAAGCTCGAAATGAGACCAAAAGTGACACACTGATGTATAGATGATTTACAGATGTACACAAAACTACATGTACAAAAATAAAATGTGTTTTGGATTTGCTTTGATAGTGAATCTTGATGGGTGCCAAAAGAGAATATGCTTTTTTCTCTTATAATTAAGTAGACTGTCAACGCGAAGTAGTCAAGACAACACTCATAGGCGTAGATCGTGCAATAAAGAACACACCAGCGTCCGATTTATCACGGGAAAGTGTGACAAATCATTTAATAGACAAACCTCCTCATCTTATTCTCGTCTAAAACCGACGACAATCTATGTTCTGCAAAGAAACTCTTAAAAAGGTGACGATGTGTTTGTGTGTGCCGCGCCACGCCACGCCACGCCACGCCACGCCATCCCTCGCAGGTGCGCGGTGTTTCACTCCTGCTTTGTGAAAGGGACAAGAACGTCCATGTCTGAGGAAATAGGGTTTTCACCATACTGTTGTCATTCGCTTGGTTCCATCCAATGTCTGTTATGGGATGCAGCGTGTCTACATGTCGGATGTCTACTAGAAGACTGGCACAAGTTGTCATTAGCAGGAACGGGTACCAAGAAACCCAAACTGGTGACGATCGAGTTGAATGAAAAGACCACATGATCTACAGTCTCTTCAACCTACTGCCAGCTTTTATCAGTCCTGCCATATGGATGGACTATTGCTGAGTCACTCACTCACTCATTGTATCAGTCCCGCCATATGGATGGGCTATTGCTGAGTTACTCACTCACTCATTTTATCAGTCTACTTGACTACGATTTACGGGTCTTCATGCTCGATGTAAAACGAACCTTGTACAACGAACACACTGACAGTGTAAATTGTGTTGTTTCAGGTATTAAAGGTCCACTCTTTAAACAAACAAATGCCACGCATTACTAAATAGTAACCTGAAACGTGAATCACAAACACGTGACTTCATACCTTAATTTACTGGGGATCATAGGAGTTGATTTTTTTGTACGGATGGCTCAAGGAGGCAACAGAGGGCGGAATTGATACCATCTTGATGGTATCTGGGATAATACTTGGTCCTGTGTTCTGAAAACATTTACCAAATGCTAGAATAATCGGTGAACATGCACACATCTATAGGTGTTTGACGTAAGTAGTTCATTTCGTATTCTGAAGTATTCTGATGTGCCATATGATGGATAAGCTTTGTTACCGCCACAAACAAACGTTGGATTGTCCTGATAAAACATTGCGACTATGATATAAATATATTTTCACAGAAAATCTATCGACTATCTGTAGCGAAACACGGCTGTTTCTTCTCGCCTACCTTGACAACATCTACAGAGGAAAATATCTAAAAAAGAAACAATGTATCGCCTGTATGTTAGTACAATTTCTTGTGAGATAAAAAAAATACTCCCTGAAAATGTAAAACTTAGATTCCACATTTCCGGAAAAGTAATGTACACAGTTTCAGCGTTAACCTGATTCAAAGTTAAACGCTCTGCAGAGATATAATTAAGGCCAGCTGATGTGAATACAGGACAGTGTAACACTATATACTGCATGGTGTATTAATTGTGTTCCGGACATGGAAAAGTGAAGGACGAAGTGCGTTAATATTTCCTCTCTAATGTACTTTGAAGGCGGTCGCCGTGTCAATCACGTGTCAACCATCATACCTAGTATCACAGATCACAAAATTACACAAATCCCCGAATATTATAGAATATTATAGAATATCACAGAATACGAGAAACCGCTTATAATACAAACCTTACACAAGCCAGTAATAACGCAGACGAGATTTAAGTATGTGTTACTGACCATGCGTTAAGAGACACAGTGTAACAGAGACACAGTGTAACAGAGACCAGTGTAACAGAGACACAATGTAACAGAGACACAGTGTAACAGAGACCAGTGGAACAGAGACAGTGTAACAGAGAGACAGTGTAACAGAGAGACAGTGGAACAGAGACAGTGTAACAGAGAGACAGTGTAACAGAGACACAGTGTAATAGAGACCAGTGTAACAGAGACACAGTGTAACAGAGACACAGTGTAACAGAGACCAGTGTAACAGAGACACAGTGTAACAGAGACACAGTGTAACAGAGACACAGTGTAACAGAGACCACTTTAACACAGACACAGTGTAACAGAGACACAGTGTAACAGAGACCACTTTAACACAGACACATCGTAACAGAGACACAGTGTAACAGAGACACAGTGTAACAGAGACACAGTGTAACAGAGACCACTTTAACACAGACACAGTGTAACAGAGACACAGTGTAACAGAGACCACTTTAACACAGACACAGTGTAACAGAGACCAGTGTAACAGAGACACAGTGTAATAGAGACCAGTGTAACAGAGACACAGTGTAACAGAGACACAGTGTAACAGAGACACAGTGTAACAGAGACCAGTGTAACAGAGACCACTTTAACACAGACACAGTGTAACAGAGACACAGTGTAACAGAGACCACTTTAACACAGACACAGTGTAACAGAGACACAGTGTAACAGAGACACAGTGTAACAGAGACACAGTGTAACAGAGACCACTTTAACACAGACACAGTGTAACAGAGACACAGTGTAACAGAGACCACTTTAACAGAGACCAGTGTAACAGAGACACAGTGTAACAGAGACACAGTGTAATAGAGACCAGTGTAACAGAGACACAGTGTAATAGAGACCAGTGTAACAGAGACACAGTGTAACAGAGACCAGTGTAACAGAGACCACTTTAACAGAGACAGTGTAACAGAGACCACTTTAACACAGACACAGTGTAACAGAGACCAGTGTAACAGAGACCACTTTAACAGAGACCAGTGTAACAGAAACCACTTTAACAGAGACACAGTGTAACAGAGACACAGTGCAACAGAGGCACAGTGCAACAGAGACACAGTGTAACAGAGACACAGTGTAACAGAGACCAGTGTAACAGACAGGCTGTGGCAGTGACTATTCAGAGACTGTCACTGGTCACTGCCACACCTTGTCTTTGTTAAACTTCCAGTACGTCGTTTGACCCAATGTTTGCCTGACGTCTGACCTCTTTCAGGTATTGTCACAGCACATTATTGGAACACCTTGCATGTGCATCCCGCTTGTACTTCCTCTCTGTATATAGTATAGGTTATATTTGGAAGTATTCTTTCTCCATAAAGTAGATTCTACTACTTTTATGTTTTGAGGCCCATCCGGAAAGCACCTAATCAGCACACAAAGTCAGTCCAACCCACTCAGCCATCGCGACATCTATAACATATGGAACTCTGACAACTGGTAGTCTAGATCCCGTACGTTGTGTACACCTCTGAGTAAATTGGCACGGCCCCCACGGCCGAAAGCTACGAATACACAATGCCATTTGTAAAGTGACCATTCAGCAACATGTGCACAACAGTTTTCTGAACGTCTTAACAAATACACGATTGCAGGTCTTAGTAGCATGCGTAACGTAGGGATATCTCGAACATGAACAACACCGTCATTAGGAGACGCGTGGCCACCGGGGCAGTAAATGACCGTGATGGCCGTGCCCTAATACATTTGGCAAGAAGTAATACCATCAGCCCTGTCGAAGAGCTGCGCCGATGTGTGGGAGTCCCATTCTCCTACAGTAGCATTAGAAAGAGGAAACAGTATGATCAAACGCCTTTCCAACACAGATAGACACAGACAGGAAAGTAAAATGTTGTGCGGGGCTGCGTAAAAACCGCAACTTGTAGACATGATGTTGGGTTCATTGGTCTGATGAAAGTCGCTATCTCACAAACGGCCGTTGTACGTAAGGAGAGACGATCCATGCATCTGAACCTGATGGCAGTGGGTCAGATATCTTGAGAGGTTTCATACGACCAGATCTCATTACAGTACCTAGGACCATCAAATGCCAACGTTACCAATGGAACCACTGGATACCACAATCGTGTCACATTTATTACAGATAACCATTCTCTTGTCAGTCGTCCGATTTTCATGGATGGTAACTCTTGACCTCGCTGTTCTCGAACCATCTCGCCTATTTGCAGAACAACGCCAATAAAACACACATTACCTTGGCTCACGGAGAGCCCCGATATGAACCTCATCGAGCGCCTTTGGGGCATTATTCAACGAGCAAGTTAACTGACCAAGACACTGACCTAGACACTCTTTGAGGAATGGCAGAGGGTTTCAATGCTGAGAATCCAACGCTTGGTTGCCAGTAAGATGTTATCCGCGCGAGGCGTTGCTGATTTTCACCAGTGGTAGATCACACGATCACCACAACCACCAGAATATTGTGTCCTAGTCAGACTGGTGGCGCAGTCATGCTGACCATACTTACAGACATTGCTGATATTCAGATTTTTGTGTATTCCTCTCAGATTGCAAGTAAACTGTTACCGAATATCAATTTCAATTTTGTTTTTGATTTATTCAGAGTAAAATATGTTAAGCTACCATTTAAATACGTGTGATTGGGTTTTCAAAGCATACATAATAACATGTTGTATTTCCGTGTTTATCATAAACAGTGCATACTGCTCATGTGTATAGTTTGAGATGGAGAAGCTAAGGAAGAAACAAGAGTATAGCCTTTTGTAAATGTTTCCACGGACGTCTTAGAGGGCGTTACACTCAATCTGTGACTGAAATAGCACAAACGATTATATACTGTTTAATACCAACTATCTCGTAAACGTAGGTCTATAAGTTGAATAGTGTCAGCCTGTGTAAGATGTAACAATAACATGTAAACCTCATTTATAATTACTTGAAGCTGGCGATCAATCAAGTCCCCGAGCCTGACCGCCCTGCCAGCACCGGTTGCTGGGGATCAGCTACCCGGAACCCCTACCGAGACAGTAGCTGTTGCAGGCTGATCTTTTTATTCATGCATGTTGTATGACCAACCACGACACAAGCTGATATGACAGTGCAGTTGACAACAAGTGAGTACATTCCACAGTTACTTAGAACAGCCTCGTTGTTTGCCGGGAAGAGACTGTATGCGATCTAGGTTTCCATCCCTGGCACCATGTTATGGCCCACCGCTACTTGCTGACGGACACTAGTTTTGGATGTCACACACTGTACCCATGAGAATAATCGAACCCGAGTCTACGAACGCTTTAACCACTCTCTACACGGAGGATCACTGTTGTTGACACCCTGGCCCTCTGGACGTATCAAGGGGCGTATGTCTGAGGTAAGATCGGGACATCTAACCCTTCTCACGAACACCTGTTGTTAGGACTTACTTTCACTGAACCATAATTTCCATAACTATTTCGCTATTTACGAACTATGAGATGTATTTTCGAGACTAACTATTCTGAAGCAATCACGTTTTGTATTTACGTATGTTGTCGCTGCCGACGTTGACAGGCTAATTCGTTACCCCTAGGGCAATGCAGATAACATGGTGGCGTTTTTGTCAAGTGAGTCAGGTTTACATAATCGGCTGATTATTTATTTGTCTTTATCAGCTTATGCCTTCATTGATTTAACTGTCCGTAAAGCCTGCATTCGTCAACCGACAAGCATTTGTTACTGTGTCAGCAAAGCCCCTGCAATTTCGGTATCAGAAAGTCTTACATGGAGAAATTAGATTCAAAGCTGTACCGTATCGAGGGGCATGTATATCTGTCCTTAGTGCACATCTGTGTGTACACACGACTGAATAACCACCCGGACACTCCTAGCGCTGGTAAGGTTAGAGGCGGTGATATGTGGCTGTAGATGCCAAATGACTGTTGTTTTCTCATCTGTATTTTAGGAACATTTCCTTTGAATATTTTCAAACAAGACCGACTCCTCAAGGACACTTGGTAGAAGAACGCTGTATGTTCCACCATCCGGTCGCGCGGACAAAATCATAAGGTACAAGGAAACAGAGGGACAGATTAAAATGGTACTCAAATAACTGTTGGCAAATAACGTACAACATACTTGATAATCGATTTCTGTTTTCGCATTTTAATATGCCGCTTTGTGAAAAAATATTTTTCGTTGTCATAGGATAACATAATATAAGATACCATTCAAAACGAATGGCCAAAGAGAGGTGGCTGAGTGGGTTAGACCGATGATGTGATCTAGAGATTACATGCTTGACTCTGAGACTGTGTGTTCGAATCTGTACTTTATCGAGAAAGTGTAACCCCAAATATAACATATGTAACGTTTCGCCACTTTAAAAATAGCATTGTGTATTCAATGAGATTTACTGGGACTTACAGAAATGTCCATCAAAGCGACTGTACCAGATAAGCTGTGTCTTGATAACCAACGAGTGTGTTGCTTAGTTAACCAGGTGCACTACGCCTCACGCCACTACAGCCTGTGTAAGTCCATGGTCTCCTCACAGAGAGAGAGCACCTGTTCTGAGGTCCAGCACCATGTCTTCTCCTGTCCTGCTGATGGTTCTCCTGATTCTCCAACTCTCCCCGACCAGAAGCACCATCCTCACTATCCACAACAACAAATATGACAACCTCGTTGTTGCCATTCACGACAGCGTCCCAGAGAACCACACCATGATATCCGAGATGAAGGTGAGCAAGGTTTACAGTACAGAGGAGCGTGTTAGAGAAACGCTATGATGAATCTAACCTTTGAAAGGTGTGATATCAGACTCCTATATATCCCTGCTCTGCTTTGGGACAAGAATCCACTCTGAGAAACTGGTCTACTACAGTGATCAAGTTCGAAATTTTATCCAGCGTCGAGATGGAGCGTGTTTCCTGACGTCTAAATGGCGTTCGAGAGGTTGACAGATTCCAGGTCTGAAGTGTGGTGTGTGGACCCATGATCTACACACAGGGTTCGGACTTATAGTCTGTTTGCAGTGAAAACGCACCAATGAATTTCACTTTAAACAAAAAAGTAAATCAAATAAAGTGAAATTAAGATTGCAAATCCTCATAATTTTACCTTGCCAACTGAACATTAAAATGACAGAATTTTATTCAACTTAGGATAAAAGTTGTTTAATAAACGATCGTAGTTTCAAATCGTTGTTATTGATTTGTATTACAAGGAGGTATGCACATTAAATGAAACCCCGAGAACAAGAACGGTTGGTTTCTACGGTAGTCCAAGGTAACGCTCATCACGTGCCGCACGTGCATTTGTTTCAGTGCTGCGCGTACCCCCTTCTAATACAAACCAATAATAGCGATTTGAAACTATGATCGCTTGTTAAACAACTTTTATCCTAAGTTGAATAAAATTCTGTGATTTTAATGTTCAGTTGGCAAGGTAAAATTATGAGGATTTGCAATCTTAATTTCACTTTATTTGATGTACTTAGTTAACTAAGCGACAGAGGGAGTTGTTTAAATATGACACCATTCATAGCTTGTCACCTTCTGGTTATCAAGCGACAGAGGGAGTTGTTTAAACATGACACCACATACAGCATGTCACCTTCTGTTTATCAAGCGACAGAGGGAGTTGTTTAAACATGACACCACATACAGCATGTCACCTTCTGATTGTCAAGCGACAGAGGGAGTTGTTTAAACATGACACAACACACAGCATGTCACCTTCTGTTTATCAAGCGACAGAGGGACTTGTTTAAACATGACACCACATACAGCATGTCACCTTCTGATTGTCAAGCGACAGAGGGAGTTGTTTAAACATGACACAACATACAGCATGTCACCTTCTGTTTATCAAGCGACAGAGGCACTTGTTTAAACATGACACCACACACTATGCAGCTATGTATATATTCTCAATGTTACATTTTTAGTGGTCTGGCTCGCCCACCATGATTGATGTCTTTGTTATCAATACATTTCCTCCCTTGGTACTGGTAATATCACCAATGACTCATTCACGTGTAATTTGTAACATGTCGTGATACGATCACGGTATTAATTTTCGTCCTCCTCAATCTCACACTAAAAAAAACATGACATTGTAAAACGTCACATGTTGGTATTATGTCCAATCATGTCTCTCCTTACAGAGCATCATCACTGATGCCTCCTGGGCGCTGTACCAGGCAACCAGGAGACGATCCTACATTGGCAGCGTCACGTTCCTTGTCCCAGGCACGTGGTCTAAACAGCCAGCTTGGGGCACTGCGACGGATGAGACATTTGAAGAAGCAGATATCCGAATCGACCAGCCATCTCCAGTATATGGGGACAATCCCTACACGGAGCAGCCTGCTGGATGTGGCACGCCTGGGAAGTTCATCCACCTCACACCGGAATATGTCCTCAATACTCGGTATAGGGAGACAAACTGGGGCCAGGGAGGTAGGTAGCCTTTATCTCACCAACTTATCATGATACGGTTAATCACCAGGACTTACCGTTATTGAGTGGGCACATCCTGTTGTATGTGCGGATGTTGTTTTGTGGGTCGATGCCCTTGCAGAAGCGGATGCTATTGTATGTGCGGATGTCGTTTTGTGGGTCGATTCCCCTGCAGAAGCGGATGCTGTTGTAAGGACGGATGTCGTTTTGTGGGTCGATTCCCCTGCAGAAGCGGATGCTGTTGTATGAACGGATGTCGTTTTGTGGGTCGATTCCCTTGCAGAAGCAGATCATGTTGTAAGGACGGATGTCGTTTTGTGTGTCGATGCCCTTGCAGAAGCGGATGCTGTTGTATGAACGGATGTCGTTTTGTGGGTCGATGCCCCTGCAGAAGCAGATCATGTTGTAAGGACGGATGTCGTTTTGTGTGTCGATTCCCCTGCAGAAGCGGATGCTGTTTTATGGGCGGGTGTCGTTTTGTGTGTCGATTCCCTTGCAGAAGCGGATGCTGTTTTATGGGCGGGTGTCGTTTTGTGGGTCGATGCCCTTGCAGAAGCAGATCATGTTGTATGGGCGGATGTCGTTTTGTGTGTCGATTCCCCTGCAGAAGCGGATGTTGTATGTCTCGTGTCGAAGTTGAATATGTAAAGCTGCTCATATCAAGTCAGATTTACCATTACGTATTTACTTGTTTCTAAAGTTGAGTAAACAACGTCGTCAATTCGATATAAGTAAACGTGTCAATGGCATAGAAAACACTTGACCCGCGAATTGCAGGTCGGACACTCGTCCATGAGTTCGCGCATCTCCGTTACGGCGTGTTTGATGAGTATGGACTTGGCAGCACCGACTTCCCCAACTTCTACCTGGACGACGACACCCTGATGCCCACCGGCTGCACCGACTCCATCAAGGGCCAGCTACACGGGGACTGCAGCCTCGACCCGGCCACACAGCTGCCAGGGAAGGACTGCTACTTTCTGTCGGACGTGGACGGCAACACGGCTAGAGCGTCAATCATGAACGATGTCTTCGTCAAATCGGTAAAGTGTTTTCACCGATTCATTTTGCCTCGTGACGGGTATAAAAGAGAAAAACGACATACTAGGGACTTTGTCTACCCTCATACAGATACATTTTGTAATATGAAACACTGACAGGTATAGTAATATTAGGACTAAAATACATTCATTGAAATAAGGTCAACAATACAAAATAATATATGATAGTATTATATCCTGAGATGTTTCGGCTTCGACCGTAACGATCTGGTTAGATTTGGTACCGAGCAGCCATTAAGAATGGAATGGGGTGGTCAAGGTCGTTAAATTGTTGATCATGATGTCAATCAGATTATGTGGCCCAGCTTACTGAAAAAAGCAATAACTTGAATATTGCTCAGTAATACGTTGTGGTTTGTACAACGTTTTCCCCGATGAGTACAACTGATGACGTCATACAGTGGATACACACAGATTAATGTCTAAGTGAATGCTTTGACCACAAAAGATTGCTACATGCATATGTGGACATCCGGTTCTAACTCGGAATACATTGGTTTTGGTGTTTTTCATGATGTGACCACTGGGCACTTTCAGCATTGCTGTCCACAGCAAGTGCCCAGGATACATCATACATTATATTGCAGGTGACTACATTTTGTGAGAGCAATACCAATGACCCGGATTACCTTCACAACGACCTGGCCCCGAACCTGCATAACAAGATGTGTGGGGGCAAGGGCACCTGGGACGTCATCTTGGAGAGCCCCGACTTCAGGGGAGGTACCAACCCACCCGTCAACAAGACCGAGGCTGAGATAAGACCGACGTTCAACGTTCTGTTCAATGCTAAAACTACAACACACACTGGAGGGGAAGTTTGTGGTAGACCCGTGGTCCTTGTCCTGGATGTTTCCGGTTCAATGCTATCGGTAAGAGTTGACTTATAACCCAATATAGGGTGGTTTAACAGTCTGATATTTAGTACACACGAAACGGTTTGAGTGCCAATGTTATATTGGTCTTATATTCATCATGTTATGGGATGTGTAATGCGGTATCGAAATGGAAATGTGTTTTAGAACAACCGCTACTTCAAACAAAGTCAGACAGCAGACAAACTCATCAGAGATATCCTTCCCGTGGGGAACCAAGGTCGGGGTGGTAACGTTTAGTTCCACCCCGTCTACAGCAATACCACTGACGCTGTTGTCGACGACCGCTGACAGAGACCGTGTTTCAAACCAGCTGCCGACACAGAATAACTATGGAGGTTCCACCGGGATTGGTCGTGGACTCCTTCTTGCTAAACAGGTAGAAAGAACTTTATCTTTATTTGTAGTTTTACAGAATATGTGTACTAAACGCCAAAAGAAACGTAACCCTCCTACATTTACGAATTACTTAAAAAACTATCAAAGATATGTTAGAAGGTATTAGTTTACAGGAAAGGTGAACAACACAGCTTTATGCAAATCACGAAATATATTTCTCAAATGCATTCATATTCAACTGAAATGCATCTTTTTAAGAGACGATAAATTGTCCTATTTTCGTCCATGCCGAAATAAACCAATAACAATGATTTAGATGTCCAAAAGAAAGGTTGAAAAAAAAAAATTCAACTATTAAAACAAGAAGCAACTGTTCAACAAGAAATAACAAATAATCATTCCCATGATTTCAGTGTTTTAAAACATTTTTTGCTGATTTGCATGAGTGAAAACAAGCAAAACGTGTCTGTGATATTGTGAAAAAAAGTTTGGGAATATCTGAAATTATCTTTGTTAACATTTTTGCTTTTTCCATTTTCTGTTCACACATAGCAGTATCAGTTGCCAAAACGCAGTAATATTGAAGCAGTATTAGCATCCATTTCACATGTAGAATGATTCTGTAGGGTATAAAGAGAGCCTAGAATGCATGATATGATACACAAGTACGAGAAATATGCCACGATTAACAGCTGAAGATAGAGAAGGAGCCATTGTAATTGAGCAGATGGGGTCGCCATACAATGCCGTTGCCAACGCCCTCGGATGCCATCACGGTTATAAGATTTATTCAGGGCTTCAGACAGCCTAGGGTCCCCGTAGAGAGACCAAGAAGTGGACGTCCACGCATCATAACGCCAGCTGAAGATAGGTACCCCATTCATTAAGGAAGGAGAGTAAGGTTTCTTTTGGCGTTTAGTGTATGTGTCATGCATGCTGATGAAAGACGATTGTTACTCCGACTGCTGTACATTATGTGTATATTTACATACATGGACTATAAACTGCTGCGGACAGATGCTACACGATGCAGGTGCGTTAAAGGAAGGCAGGATAGTGCTGATCACAGATGGAGAGGAGAACGTTCGACCTTACGTAGCTGATATGAAAGGACAGTTACTCCAGGCTGGAGTCCGGGTACACGCAGTGGCCTACAGTAGTGCAGCTGCCCGTGCCATAGGGAAACTAGCAAATGAATCAGGTCAGTCAACTCTTATCTGTATGCTCTATGCTCTGTTGCTCCTACGGAACATTTCATGAAGCTATGAGATGGGAATCAGGAGGGGGGAGATTATTTCATTGGCTTGCTGATGTTTACCAGGTGGCCAATACGCCTACTACTCTGAGGGCGCCACCTCCACCGTTCTGGACAGCGTCATCGAGACCTTGATGAAAGACATATCCATCTGTAACAACAGGGTCCGTATAGAGGTACGTTCACGACATCGTTGCATTCAAGTCATTAATGTAGTCATACATTCCTTTTCAGGAAAGTCATACATGATATATAGGATGGTTTGTGACAACCACTTGGGTCAGATGGTTTCATATAATGACTCCTGGAACATTGTAGAATAGTCCGGGCCTCTCAGATGTCGGACTGGTCGGATCAACTGCCTGAAGGAACCCAGTGCTATTTCAACTCTTTCGTTGTATTGGGTGCTAAGCTTGGCAAAGATCCATTCTGACATGCTCACGTGCTCTTTCGCACGAGGAGTCGATGGGGCAGCCTAGAGGTTAAAGCGTTCGTTCATCACGCCGAAGACCCAGGCACGCATGGGTACAATGTGTGAAGACCATTTCTGATGTCCCCTCGCCGTGCTATTGCTGGAATATTGCTAAAAGCGACTTAAAACTGAACACTTTCACACGTTTCCTAAAAGTCAGAATACCCAGATTTGGGTTTTACTAACTATGAACATGGCCTCCTTTCGAGTGCCCCTCCATTGTGAAGATGTACATCCCTGACAACGGGAGTATATGGAATGAACTCGAATGTGTTTTGTGACTACTTTCAATGTAACAATGTTGGATTTTGTTATTACCTGTCACAGAACGATCACATCTTCAACTTCCATGTTCAAGGCGAATTTGGAAGTTCAAAGCCATGTCCCTAGGTCCCTACACCAACGTAATTCCTGGTCTGTTTTCAGATATTTAGAGCAGCTAAGTTTGTGACTGGCGGTACAACTGTGGAAGACAACGTAATTATGGACGCTACAGTAGGGAGTGATACAATGTTTGTCTTCACCCTCCCGCATAGAACATCAGTGACGGTACGTGGGTTCATTCTTCAAGTCACTGAAGCCAGCGTCCTAGACAAGCTACATGTATATGGTCGTGTGCACGCAGCATATATTGCCATTTCTTGAGTTTTAGGTGACCTTGTCATCCCCTGATGGCGTGAAGTATACCTCAGGAAGTAGTGAATGTTCCATCGACCACACACTCAACATCGTCAGATTCAACTTCCACAAAGCACAGGTATAAGACTTTATTACTAAACCAATCATGGGCCGTTTCAGTCATCACAGAGACATTCGTGTTTTAACTTTGTTTATGTATTCAGACAGGGGTATGGCGCTATTCACTGTGGAGCCCGACATCTGGCACAGTGACCCTTGTGGTGAAAGCGCTCCCCGCGGACCACGCCCAACCCTATGAGATCAACTCCTGGCTGTCCTCCACGGGCGCTGATCTCTCCGCAGCTAACCCAGTTAAACCTATCGTCTATGTCAGTGTACGCAAAGGCTACTCCCCCGTTGTCGACGCTGACGTTACTGTGATTGTAGAACGACCAACTGGTCTTCCCGTGACTCTAAAACCAAAGGATGACGGGACATGTAAGTATAACGTGGATCTATCTACAGATTGTGGAAAATATATAGTATACTATAGCATCGGACATAGTATGAAGACTGTATGTATGTGTGTTTCCAATATGGTTGTTTTGTATGACGTTTGACGGGAGTCAGCATTTCTCATGAAGGATGAGAAGTACTCCTGGATGCACATAGTGACCACGTGGTTTCAGGTGTGACACGTTTAGATACAGGGTCTTGTGCATTATATTAAATTTTGAATTGTAGCTTTCTGTAACCATGTCGATGAGAACATATCAGTTCGGGGTCACTTCGGGGTCATCAGCTCCTTTAAGCGTATGTTCATGTACGTGTCCACAAGTGTCCAGATGTAACTTTGGTTATTGGTTAGGTGGTGTGTGTATAGAAGCAGAAGCAGACTGAGTGACGTCACTGAGGAAGTGTAATTCCAAATATGACAAATTCTAGTATTACATGAACCACCTTCTAAATGACATTCTGTATTCAAAGCTTTCTGTCGTGTAAGCCGTGTCAGTCGTCACTCGTCAGGTCGGTACACCAAGTATACCACTTTCACCTGGGTGGCTGAGTCGGTTAGATCGCTGACTTTATGTGCTGGCGGGTCCTGACTGAGAGTCTGGGTTCGAATCCCAGATGGAATTCAACCAAAAATGTAACTAGAATCTGTACTTTACTGAGAATACTGTAATCCCAAATATATGGTACCTTATATATAACTAGATTCACACTAAGTACAAGTGAGACCAACTACTCTGATATACATGAACATCGTTAACGAGAGGCTGTCCCTGTTCCAGTGCCGGACAACATGGCCGACGACGGGGTGTATTCCGTGTACTTCACCCAGTTCAGCGGAAACGAGAGATACTCCCTGGATGTAGACGTGAGGACCATCGCTCACAAAACACGCTACTTCATTCAGGGAGGTCCAGCCTTCGGGAGGGCAAACTCAAGATTTCACAGTATGGATCTAATTGTGTTTAGATGAGGGCATTATTTGTCACTACATTACGCCGGTAATGGTAACTGAGCTTTACATCCCTTAACATTCACTGTTACCTGGTAGATCTGTAACCTGAGAACATGGTTTTGTTTCCAGACGCTACTCCCTCTGTCACAACTAAACTTGCCGAGAATTTCACCCGCTCAACCTCTGCTGGTGCAATGGACGTGGATGGCTTTGAGAACGGAAAAGACGTGTATGCCCCGAGTAGAGTCACCGATCTGAAGGTCATCTCTTTTGATACCAGAAATCATACAGTGACCTTGACCTGGACTGCACCTGGGGACGATCTCAATGTCGGCACTGGTAAATATTTTGTTTGTTGTGTTGCGTGCAACATAAAGGGAGTGCTGGTTTGAATATTGTGAAAGTTAATGAAACGTACGTACATAACCGTTTTTTTTTAAATAACGGTGCAACTTCATCCGTCGGAGATATGGAACAAAACATTTGTAAATCGTTAGACTTCTTTAAGTTGAATTTGTGGACCCACCATGATACACCATGACCTACACCATGGTCCACCATGATACACCATGACCCACCAAGATACACCCTGATACACCATGGTCCACCATGATACACAATGACCCACCATGACCCACCATGATACACCATGACCCACCATTGATACACCATGGTCCACCATGATACACCATGACCCACCATGATACACCATGACCCACCATGACCTACCATTGATACACCATGACCCACCATGATACACCATGACCCACCATGATACACCATGGTCCACCATGGATAAAGAACAACAGTTATCAACATATATTGTCCTCATTTTGAAGGGTATGTCTTTATGAATGATTTAATATGACTGTACATCCACGATAGGTAAACAAAGACTATGACTATGACTTCTTTAAGTTGAATTTGTGGACCCTCCATGATACACCATGACCCACCATGATACACCATGACCCACCATGATACACCATGATACACCATGGTCCACCATGGTCCACCATGATACACCATGACCCACCATGATACACCATGATACACCATTGATACACCATGACCCACCATTGATACACCATGACCCACCATGATGCACCATGACCCACCATGATACACCATGACCCACCATGATGCACCATGACCCACCATGATACACCATGACCCACCATGATACACCATGACCCACCATGATACACCATGACCCACCATGATACACCATGGTCCACCATGGATAAAGAACAACAGTTATCAACATAAATTGTCCTCATTTTGAAGGGTATCTCTTTATGAATGATTTAATATGACGGTACATCCACGATAGGTAAACAAAGACTATGACTATTAGTTATGACTATGACATAACATTTTGAGAAGCAATGGGCACCCAGTTCTACCGTGAAGGACGTGGGCCATATGAGCCGGTAAAATATATATGTTTACAGCTGAATGGAACTTGGTCATTAGACAAGAATAAGACACATTAAAACGTTTTCAGTAATACTTTTAATGAGACAACAATGTCGTTTAGCGATGATCGTAGAAGTGAATTCTGCTGTAGTAATTCAAATTAAAAATCTCGAAATACATTTTGAAACACCAAACAGCAGTTTGATGCACATTTTTCATGCACGTAGACGGTACCAGTCTGTTTAGTTTAGAATGTGGACCAACCTCGTATTTTAGATAAGGCACACAGAGTCAGATCCCTTCTCGCACCACCGATATTTCTGGACGTTTTATATCATATGTTCATTCTAGACAGCAGATTGATTCCTGTTTCTAAATCAATTTTCTAAGTATATTTTTCAGCTTCCAGATATGAAATACGAATCGCAGAAACTACTGACGCACTGAGAAATGAGTTCTCGTCTTGCCTAAACGTGACACCAAATATGATCAAATCTGGACATTTGGTGCCCAGCCCCGCCAACAGCAGGGAGGAGATGACGATCAAGACACCCGTTGGTTGGACGTCGGTCGGGTTTGCCATGGTGACCTTTGATGAAGTCAATCACCACTCTCATAAATCCAACATCGCTATGGCAACTTTCAAACAAGTAACACTTCCAGGCCAAGTAACTGCCGAAACAAAGCTACCGTGGCAGTCGTCCACGTCACTACCCATGCAGTCGGCCACGACACTACCGATGCAGTCGGCCACGTCACTACCCATGCAGTCGGACGAGTCACTACCCATGCAGACGACAAGCCCGGCTGTAATCGGCGCCGTTGTCGGCGGTACATTAGGGGGTGTTATTGTTGGTGCTGCGGTTGCTGTTTCTAGTGCCAGGATGTTCTTCAAGAAGAAGATTCTACATAAGCCATCCGACCCGCTTGATGCCGAAATGACCGAGCGATCTGTTCCACACGAGTCCTTCTTCTTACATGTGAAACATTGAACTATTGTACTATGTCAGTCAGTTGTTGTTTAGGATATTCCACTTCATCACACCGAACATCATTGTACTGTCCAATGATAACTGAGGAGACGCAACACTCAGACTGAGACAATCGCCGGCCCAGGACAAAGATTCATACTACAATGATACCATGTTTTACAAGGTGAATATTGATTGGAGGCGTGAGGTTGAGGTTAATGAGTTATACAAGACATTTAATCGCACCTCTGAGTCACTACGATATCTGTAGTCATAGTAAAACATATAGAGTTCCACAATGTAACATATATACATAAATGCATCAGCAATAAATACATTACTAATCAAAGATTCACATCCTTCTTTACCGTCCTCATCAGCCCTGATGATGATGATGAGTATGATGATGGTGATGATTTGGATATTTAACGTGCGCGTTCTTACATATTGCGTCTTAGTGCTTGATCGAAGGAGGGGTGATTTTACAGATAGATATGACAACCTGAAGGGGGCGTTGGTATTACATAATTAAATTTGTATTAATTTGGAATTTGGAAATTTGCCAGTAGTTAGTTGTAAGGTTGATCAGCTGTGGGGTGGTTCGGCTGTTATAATTTTTTATTTTTTCTCATGTTTTGTTTTGTATCTTTTTTCTGTTAGCACTTGTTGGTTATGTAGGATTATAAGCGACCTCAACTACCAGTTTCGATAAGAATATGCCTTTGGCTTTGAAGGTTTGGATATTATGTAGTGGTGTTAGAGGCATTGTAGCGTTAGGTGTCCAGTGTACGCTGTGTTGTTTGTAGTGTATGCAGTGTGGTAGGACGTGATCGGACGTCTCTGTTTCCATGCAGTGTGTGCATTTGTTTGTTTGGTGTGTGTGTTTTTTTTAATGTTATGTAGATGGGACTTTAATTTTGTGTGACCTGTTTGTAACTTATCGCCGTGTCAATATTTCTGGATTTATGATAGTTCTTTTTAGGGTTTTGAGTGGTTTTTGGAGTAGATGTTTCAGTTTAGAATTTGAATTTTGCTATCCATTTGGCCACTTTAGGGAGAATATTTTATCTTCATAGGCTTTTAATTTTGTTTTTATATAGATGAGGGAATGTTCAAGTTAACTTCTGGGTATGTAAGTGCCGCTTTAGCTGCTTGGTCGGCATCTTGGTTGTCAAAGACAACACGGGCAGGGATCCATATGAACTCTTCCTTCTTGACTGAGGCGTTGTTAGCGTTAAGTGGTTATCAGTCTTATGTACACCACATCGATGGCGGGATGCCCACAGTGACGTAGATGGTGAACAAAACTACCAATGTCTAGTCACCCTGTACATCACAGCGATGTGGGAAAGCCCACAGTGACCTAGATAGTGAACAAAACTACCAATGTCTAGTCTTCTTGTACATCACAGCGATGGGGTAAAGCTCACCGTGACGTAGGTGGTGAACAAAATTACCAATGTCTAGTCACCCTGTACATCAAAGCGATGGGGGTAAAGCCCACCGTGACGTAGGTGGTGAACAAAATTACCAATTTCTCCTAATCACATCGTTCCACAACATCACAACACAACACAGTTTACTGGAATACGCTTGTGACTGGTGCGACCGTTTTATTTACAAACCTCAACACAACACAACTTGACTCAACTTGGTATATATTATACCCATCTCGTACAGAAAGAAATGATTGTATATTTATGCAGAAATATAATGATATCTTTATTACCTGCTGAAACCCGACACGTAAAACCAGAGATAAAAACTCTTACAGAAAACACTCTGAACCGTGTCCCTCTACGAATGTAACAGCACATACTGGAGGGTTTACAGTACATATCAATCTTGTATGTATACAGTCTACAGTGCATTACATAAACAGTCACAACACTGGAATACAAACAACACAACTTGAATTAAATTCAAGATTATTATAGGAAATTATACAAATGCCATATGCACATCATGATAGCTTACCAGTCTAGCAATATTCAATCAACATATTTTACAAGTTCCTTCATACAGGAATATGCAATAATATACAGGCTTACCAGGCCAGCTGAATACAAACTACAGCTTTACATATATACATATGATATAGGAAAAGGCAATTTCTAATGGCTTGCCAACCCAAAAACATACAAACACATACAGTATTTTGATGGCTAGCCAGCCGAGTAGCTTTCAGATATACATTTCATATAGAAATGTGCAATATTCTAATGGCTTGCCAGCCCATAGCTTTCAAATATATATTTCATATAGAAATATGCAATATTCTAATGGCTTGCCAGCCCAAAGAAGAACAAACTCATGCAGTATTATAATGGCTTGCCAGCCAAAACCTTCATATAGAATAGATGCAACATTATAATGACTTGCCAGGCCAATGAACAATACATGAAGCTTACAGCTTACTAAATTTGTTCATCTCTACTCCAATGATCCAGTCAAATTGATGACCTGAAACAGTAAATATGATTAATCACACATGGACCATTTTACATAATATGACACACTTAAAGATGTACGGTCTTGTTTGCACAAGCGAGAGAACGAATTTAAATTCATCAACCTTATATATACCCTTAATCAACGCCACCTGGCGGAATCGCCAGTCACGTGGCTGTAGTTACACACCGCTAGGAGAAAGCAATTTCCACTTATTCATACTTCAAACGTTGGAAATTTCATTTCTCCTAATCACATCGTTCCACAACATCACAACACAACACAGTTTACTGGAATACGCTTGTGACTGGTGAGAATATGCAAAGAAAGTCATAGGCCAAGAGACAGTGAAACTTTCATCCTTTGCTCCAAACTATCTTTATATACCCGTCTTTAGCTTTTCGCTTCTCCATCGTCCGTGACGTTTAAACATTCGATCTGGTAATCCGTTATTTTGCAGCCGCCGTTGCTCCACCACTGCGCAAGCTATGCAAACCATACTGTTTTTATGTTATCAACATAAGGACGTAAAGCATCAATGAATATCTCTCTTAATCTTGTGTATGAGATAGGAACATTTCCTTTCCTCATGATATATCCAGAAGCACATTTTGTCAGACCTCTAAAATATACTGATCCGAATCAGACTCAATCGCAGCCATATCAAGATAACGTTCTAAACAAGCTACTGGACAAAGCTTTGTTTGTGTACGACCTATAACAACCCATGCACCATCTCTGTAAATGTCAGTCTTTGATTTTTCAATGAAAACAAGCATATGAGATTGACAAAATACAACATCAGAACGTGATATATACAATAACTCGGCTGATCGCAAAAATCCTGCATAAGCCAATAAACACATTGAAAAGCAATCTAAGCTCAGGTAACCCAGCTCCTTGTATTTTGTCATCATACAAGCGTTCAAGAATAGCTACCGTGATAGGTTCTTTCTTAACTACAGCTTTACCCAGCTTCCTCTTAGCTGCTTCCATGACACTCTTGACTCAAACCGTTAGCAGTGGGACTCACAAAGTCCTATTCTTGAATGCGCATGGCGCAAGCTATAAAAAGCTGTCAACACAGGGGAAACAGTTTCACTTTTGTTGAATTACTGATACCAAATATAATGCACAATGCAACGGCGATACAGGTAAATCAAAAGAAATCTCATTACATATCGCCCAACTTTTCCAGGCAGCAAACCCGTACTGATACTTTCTGTTTGTCGAATCAGCTGCAGCTCCAGACAACATCGATGGGATATCATCAGCCAATGCTCTAAAACTATCTGGGAGATCACTCAACTCGTCCCTGTACACGTGCTGGAAAGCCTCTGTAAACACATACAGCATAAATTAACGAAAATCAATGAACAGAGCAAGCATATTAAAATCTAAATCTGTCTGGCCGAACAAACCCCCTTGTATCCTAGAAGCTGTATACGCTTCCTTAACTGTGGGAAGATACATCCAATCTTTGATCTGTGGAATGAACACGTTTTTAGCGCATATCAACGGCCAGAAACACGCAGAAGGCCACTCTCGGGAACCACTAAAGTACCAACTGCACGACATTCTTTCAAGTGCTTGATGACCCTTGGAATCAAACCTATAGGCGGGACAATCCAGCTCATAGTTCTTCTCCAGTTGACTGTGAAACAATCTACCGCTTGACTCCCAGGATTGCTGAACTTAGAATTGAAACGCTCCAACTTCGTATTATAGTAAGAAGCAAATCTATCCACATTATGAGGTCCCCAAATAGCATCTACTTTATGAAAACATCCTGAGAAACACCCCAATCATCACGATCAAGCAACCGACTCAAAAAATCAGCTTTTTGGTTAGCACAACGGGGAATCCACTGAACCTCTAACTCAACACTATACTTTAGGCACAAATCGAAAATCTTCAGAGCAATGGACTGTAGATGTTGCTTCATGCTCCCCTTTGTTATAATGTTAACAACGTTCTGATTATCAGTGAGCCACTTCACGTGTTGATGACTTAACCTTGAAATCAAACTTTCAAACACCAATTGCACAGCTTTGAGCTCTCTCCAAGTTGAACTAAGCCTAGCTTCTTCACTGGACCACTGACCACAACTAGGTACACAATCTACATTAACACTATAGCCTGCAAATCCAACATCACTCGCATCTGAATAAACAACAGTTGTAGCAGTAGCTGATTGTACAAAGGGATCTAGAATCATATGTTTCTATGTTCTCGTACCAGAATTTCAACTGTTCGATACTGATATCCGACAAAACAATCTTGCTGTACCACGAACTTGCCTTGAGAATGTCTATACTGACTGATCTTGTCATAAGTTGTGATACCGGACCCACAACTAACTTCATGGCAATGATTTGACCCACGACAGATGCAACTGACCTTACACAGATTGGCTTACAAATGCTTTGAAGCAAAGTAACAATCGAAAGTTTAACCTTGTCAATCTTGCCTTTTGGCACAGAAATAGTCATCGTAGTAGTGTCAATACCAAATCCTAACCATTCAATATTCTGTGAAGGGACCCACAGAGATTTCTCAACTTTAGGTACAAAACCAGATAAGAGCAGATCATTCTTGATATCCAATCCTGCTGAAAATGTCGTAGCTGATGAGGATCCAGACAAAATACCATCATCCAAAAATGTGACTATTTTGTGTCCGTCTGACCTCCACTTTTTAACCAGCTGTCTAGTCACTTTCGTAAACACATAGGGTGCCGATGTGAGTCCAAAGGGTAAAACCATAAACTTTTAGAAGCAAAGTTTACCAGCTTTGTCTGGCCACGCAAACCCAAGGTAATCTGTATGACCAGGATAAATATCAATATGGTGATAAGCTGAATGGATGTCAAATTTTATAAGCCAATCATCTTTATCAATATAGTTCAAAGCAGTTTTCCAGTCTTCATATTTCACAGTTCTTTTAAAGACAGATGCATTCACCCTGGACAAATCAAGAATTAGTCGTTTTTTGCCCGAAGATTGAACAGATACTGTTAAAGGATTCACTACGGTAGGTGGTTCATGACAGGTCAGGATCAACTGTTTCATCATCAGCTCTTCAATGGCCTGCGTGACAAAACCATCCTGTTTGAGAGCTGACTTGTTATTAGGTATAAACATAGAAGGAGGGATAGATATAAATGGAATTTTATACCCAAAAGCAATCAAATCAATGACAAATTGTGACGCACCAATTTGACGCCAAAAACCCAAACTCTGTTTGAGCCTACCCTTGACAATTATTTCTGATAAACCCTGCTCATACTCATTATAGTCGTCAGTTAGTTTGTAAGAATTGATCTCAACATCAACACAATGAGAATACTTAACTGACAGATCTTGACTATTTGTTGACTGGGGTCGAGACTCCGCCTGTGACCACCGAGGCTTTAGATGTACTGACGCTGTAGGGACAGTCTCGTCGGTAGTGCGAGAACTCACCGCAGGTGAAGCATGAACCTGACCTTTGACTTTTTGCACGAAAAAGAGCAGGCTGGCTAGGCTGAAGAGCAGGAACAGGCTGCACAGCAAACTGTAATGGCCGAGCGACCGTCGACGACGAGCGGCGAGCTGACCTAGATGTGGATTACGGTGATTGGCGTGCACGCTTTTGACGAAGTTTCCTGACTGCCTTGTTTTCAGCCGAAGTAATCCTTTGTCATCGTCAGAATCATCAGCGAGATCATTAGCAACATAGTTTCTCACAGTTTCCCCAGCCCCTTCACTAGAATCCGCAATTTTGATGTGCTTATTTCTTTCTGGACACTTTCTATCGCTGACGTCAGAACCGTCTCAGCCTCTTCATAACGTTGATTCTGAATCGACAAAAGAACTGTATTCAAAGAATCTACTGTCTCACTGTTGAAATTGTACTGTATTTTATTTCCTTCCCTTGACCACGTATAATCCTTTTCAGCTTTGAGTTTCTTCAAATCAGTAGAAGCTTGACTAAACTCTTGTCGTAAAGCACCGAGCTGGGATTTAAAGGATTCTTCCAGTTGATCTTTATTAGCATTCAGCTGTTTCAAGATGGCGTCTAATTTGGCGTCTGTGTCCATTTTAAAGATGTACGGTCTTGTTTGCACAAGCGAGAGAACGAATTTAAATTCATCAACCTTATATATACCCTTAATCAACGCCACCTGGCGGAATCGCCAGTCACGTGGCTGTAGTTACACACCGCTAGGAGAAAGCAATTTCCCACTTATTCATACTTCAAACGTTGGAAATTTCATGTCTAGTCACCCTGTACATCAAAGCGATGGGGGTAAAGCCCACAGTGACGTGGATAGTGAACAAAACTACCAATGTCTAGTCACTCTGTAATTCAAAGCGATGGAGGTATGCCCACAGTGACGTAGATGGTGAACAAAACTACCAATGTCTAGTCACCCTGTACATCAAAGCGATGGAATAAAGCACACAGTGACGTAGATGGTGAACAAAACTACCAATGTCTAGTCAACCTGTACATCAAAGCGATGGGGTTAAAGCCCACAGTGACGTAGATAGTGAACAAAACTACCAATGTCTAGTCAACCTGTACATCACAGCGATGGGGGAAAGCCCACAGTGACGTAGGTGGTGAACAAAACTACCAATGTCTAGTCACTCTGTACATCAAAGCGATGGAGGAATGCCCACAGTGATGTAGATAGTGAACACAACTACCAAAGTGTAGTCACTCTGTAATTCAAAGCGATGGGGGAATGCCCACAGTGACGTAGATAGTGAACACAACTACCAATGTCTAGTCAACCTGTACATCAAAGCGATGGGGGTAAAGCCCACAGTGACGTAGGTAGTGAACAAAACTACCAATGTCTAGTCACTCTGTACATCAAAGCGATGGGGGAAAGCTCCACAGTGACGTAGATAGTGAACAAAACTACCAATGTCTAGTCAACCTGTACATCAAAGCGATTGGGGTAAAGCCCACAGTGACGTAGATAGTGAACAAAACTACCAATGTCTAGTCACCCTGTACATCAAAGCGATGGGGGAAGCCCAGAGTGACGTAGATAGTGAACAAAACTACCAATGTCTAGTCACCCTGTACATCACAGCGATGGGGGAAAGCCCACAGTGACGTAGGTGGTGAACAAAACTACCAGTGTCTAGTCACTCTGTAGATCAAAGCGATGGAGGAATGCCTACAGTGACGTAGATGGTGAACAAAACTACCAATGTCTAGTCACTCTGTACATCAAAGCGATGGAGGAATGCCCACAGTGACGTAGATAGTGAACAAAACTACCAATGTCTAGTCACCCTGTACATCACAGCGATTGGTGTAAACCCCACAATGACATAGGTGGTCACGCCACGCCACGCCACGCCACGCCACGCCACGCCACGCCACGCCACGCCACTCCACGCCACGTAGGTGCATGATGTTTCACTCGTGCTTTTGATAAAGGGAAAAAGAAGGTCTATCAATATCTCTGGACCATTATCTCCGCGAATCTTAGTGGGTTTTTCAACATACTTTTGTGATTTGCTTGATTCCATCCACTGTTTGTTAAGCGATGCGAGGTGTCTTCATGCCGAATGTCTACAAGCAGATTGGCAGAAGTTGTGATTAGCAGACTATGGAACTGGTACCAAGGAACCCAAGCTGGTGACGATCGTGGTGAATGAAAAGACCATAGGACCTACAGGCTCTTCAAAATTGTAACCCATACGGCGAATCAAATTACTGCAAGCGTTTATCATGCTACTTGAGTACGGTTTACGGGTCTTGATGTAAAACAAACCATGTGCAAAGAACACATTGGCAATGTTGTTTCAGAACTTAAAGGTCCACTATATAAACTAACAAATGCCACGCATCGCTAACTCGTAACCTGATACGTGAATCACAAACACCTGACTTCATACGTGGTCTCTCGAGTAGATTGTTTTTGTACGGATGGCTCAAGGAGGCAACGGAGGGCGGAATTGATATGATCTTGATGATACCTGGGATGATACTAGGTCCCGTGTTCTGAAAACGTTTACCAAATGCTAGAATAATCGGTGAACATGCACACATCCATAGGTGTTTGACCTGAGTAGTTTATTTCTATTGTTTACAGGTATATAAAAACTCAGGTATTCTGATATGCCATATGACCGATAAGCTGTATTGCCGTCACGAACAAACGTTGGATTGTCCTGATAAAACACTGCAATGCGATTATGTTATAAATATATTTTAACATTTTTTTCACAGAAAATCTATCGACTATTTGTAGCGAAACACGGCTGTTTGTTCTCGGTCACCTTGACAACATCTGCAGAGGAAAACAAATAAAACAGGAACAATGTACATGACTGAACCAATCAAAACTGTTGAATTACAAAAGTTAGTATAATTTCACGTGACATTACAATTTAGTGCCTGGAAAATGTCATGTCCACATTTCTTGAAATGCAATATACACAGTTTCAGGGTTTACCTGATTCAAAGTTAAAGGCTCTGCAGAGATATAATTTAGCTCAGCTGATGTGAATACAGGACATTGTAACACTATTTCCTCAGAAGAAATACTGCATGGTGTATTAATTGTGATCCGGACAAGGAATAGTAAAGGACGAAGTGCGTTAATACTTCCTCTCTAGATCTAAGTTCCTTTGTTTCACCACAGACGGTCGCCGTGTCAATCACGTGTCAATTATCATAGATAACCTACTATCACAGATCACATAATGTCACATAATGTCACAGACTAGGACAAGCCAGGTATAGCGCAGACCAGATTTAACAATGTGTTACTGTAAATACGTAAAGAGACCAGGTGTAACAGACAAAGTGTAACACAGACAGGCTGTAACCGGCCATGTGTAACAGAGGCCAGGTGTTACAGAGACCAGGCGTAACAGAGACCAGGTGAAACAGGCACAGTGAAACACAGACAGGCTGTAACCGGCCATGTGTAACAGAGACCATGTTTAACATGCAAGGTGTAACAGAGTCCAGGTGTAACAGAAACCAGGTGTAACACAGACACGGTGTAACACAGACAAGCTGTAACCGGTCATGTATAACAGAGAACATGTTTATCAGACAAGGCGTAACAGAGACCAGGTGTAACGGAGATCAGGTGTAAAAACAGACTGTGTAAAACAGGCCAGGTTTAAAATGCAAGGTGTAACAGAGAACAGATGTAACACAGTTCAGATGTACCAGTCATGTGTAAAACAGGCCAGATTTAACAGACAAGGTGTAACAGAGACAAGGTGTGAAACAGAGAGTGTGCTGCATAGACAAGGTGTCTCCGGCCATTGGTAAAACAGGCCATGTGTAACAGACAAGGTGTAACACACTTGTGTTTATTCAAATGTTCACAGTTCAGTGGGATTCGTGTTTGTCATGACACTGTACAGATGAGACACTATTGCACAACATTCAACATTTCCTCTTGGCAACATTTCCTTTCACATGTCACTATATTCCCCATTCATTCCGAATTCCGAATTCAAGTTATTTCGTAACAAGGCCTTAGGCCCACGTACAATACAAATAAACAAGTGTAATTATAAGATAGCGGCAATTGACAGCCAAATTCATCTGTATAAAGAACGCAATGACAATGCTTCCTTACTGTAAGTAAAACAATTTGTTGCTGTTGAAACATTCGTACGTGACAATGTGTTCAGAAAGTATTGCTGGTCTATGTAATTTGGTAATGCTTTAAAATACTTACAGCGCAAATCATGATACATTTTACATTCAAATAGGAAATGAAATTCATTTTCTACAAAATTATCATTACAAATATTATAAAGTCTTTGGTGCCTCGAAATTCCATCAAATCTACTGGTATTTTCATATATTGGAAGTGCACCGATTCGTAACATTGTTATTCTACGCCTCGCATCTTTAGATTTCAATAAAGTTAAATATGGTTTAATGCAAAATACAATTTTGAAACTGGAATAAACATCAAGTGATGAACATTTGTGCAGTTCAGAAAATATGAATTGCTTTTGACAATCACTAACTCTTTAAAATCTTGTAAAAAACTGTTCCTTGTTGCCAACAACTTGAGGTTCCCAAACACAACCCAAACACAACCCAAAACAAACTATTTCGGACAAAACATACCCACGGTTTCCTACCAACTTTGTCTAAATGTGCAACATAATAGCACTGCTTTAGATTTCTATCCTTTGGTGTAAAAGTTTGAACCAATAAGTCAGTCCAACCCACTCAGCCAGCGCAGCATCTACAAAATTTGGAACTCTGACAACTGGTGGTCTAGATCCCGTACTTTGTGTTCCCCTCTAGCAAGTGTAACTTGGCACGGCTCCCACGGCCGAAAGCTGTGGATACACCATGCCATTTGTAAAGTGACCATTCAGCAACACGGGTACAACAGTTTTCTGACCGTCTTAACAAATACACAGTTGCAAAACCTGGTTATTAGCCTGCATAACGTAGGGATGTCCTCGAACATGAACAACACGGTTATACGTCGAACATGAACAACACGGTTCTACGTCGAACATGAACAACACGGTTCTACGTCGACTGTTGAGGAAGCGCGTGGCCACCGGGGAAGTAAACAACTAGTGCAGGGCTTGTGTAGCAAATATGCTTTCCGTGGAAAGTGCATGCTAATTTTTGGAACCACTGATAACTGCAATCAGTATTGCATATGGATTCAGAAAGAACATGGTTCCATTTTTTCTGATGATTATAAATGTCATTCTGGGGTAACTGAACATCGGTACCCATAATCGAGCTGCAACACCAATGTGAGAAAACATATTTTTATAAACCTATCACAACATAGGCAAGTAATATATCAAAATGTACCTTGCGATAGGTGCCTTACAACTACCATTATATATCATGAATCTCAATAACATATGTGCTTAATAATTACTATGATCATAACTGCCTCTGCCAAAGCCGAAGGTTTGTTGCCGAGGGTATATATTCAACCCTGTTTGCGTGTGTGTTTTTATGTGTTAGCAACTTTACTCAAAAACTACTAGATGGATTTCAATGAAATTTACTGGATCTCTTGGGTGTGTACCCAGGACAAATCAATTAAATGGTGAAGAAAAT